GTGGAACTGCATTCACTTTATATTTTGTAGTGAAGTTCTATGCAGCTGATCCTTGCAAATTACGAGAAGAAATTACAAGGTAAATCAACATCATTGTTTTTGGTGTTGAATCAAATCTATTTTTAGTCAATTAATAAGAGGGTACAAATCTTCAAACAAATTTGACAGTAATTAAACAGCCTAAAATATTTTTTATGAATTGATTTAATATCAAACTTGGCTACTGAGAAATGATCAAAGGGGAAAATACTATCATTATCTCATTGTGAAATTCATGTATGATGTCAATTCACAAGCTTATTTATAATCATATCATTATCAATGGAATTTTCCATTTTAATTAACACATTCTTCTTTCTCTTTTAATACTTTAAAATTACGTCAGTTTCTACAAGTACTAAAAAAATATCTTGCTGACCATTTGATTTAGAAAGTAACTCAGTTTATCCAACAAAAACTTTAATAGAAGAATCTATTTATGAACATTCTATTTAAATTTTCTGTTAACCAAAAACTACTTGAAAATCGAATTACCTGAGAAGTAAAATCATGACAGGAAAAATTCTCCAACCACTTATAAAACTTTTATTAGATATTAAGTTTTTCAAAAAGCAATATCACATTTTTAAGGTAGAATAAAAACCATTATAAACCCTTACAAATGTAACAAAATTTAAATTTATTTATTCAGAACACAATCACCATAATTTGCAATAACAAAAACCCATTGATCTTTTGACTTTTTACTAAAGTAAGTCTGGGATTGTGATTGCAAAGAATTCTGATATTACTAAATATTGAGCATTTCCTTAATTTTAAAGCTTTAAAGTTAGATGTTTAAGTATCTGAAAAAATAATGTTGGATTACTAAGTCAAATGGTTAACAATAGACCTGTTATGATAATCTTGCCTTAATTCTATGAACTTATAATAAATAAAATCTGTTTCATTCCATCAAATTAACTGCAAAACCTTATGAAAATTGAATTTTGATTTACATGATAGAATATTTTTTGTGTATTTTTTTGGATGATAAGCATAGATTTTTTTGCATTTGTTATTGGTATGTTATCTATTTTTCATATCTGGCAAAAATTTCCTGAAAAAAAAGATTTTTTATCCTTAGTCAGCAAACACTTTCTGAATGAAATGCTCAAATACTTAAGTGACACTTTATGAAGTATCAAAATTCCTTGTCTTTGCTCCTATTCAATCAGTGTTCTTTGGTAGAGGCTGAAGCATTTAGCTTTTAAGCTAAATCTCTTTGGTAAAAATCAGCTTTAAATCTTGGTTCATCCTAATGTTGTAACTTTCAAATATAGCATTACTTTCTGACAACATAATTATTTCAATTATGAAATTCTTCCTCATCAAAATCAATTTGAAAAGTTCACTCATTAAGAAATATTAATTATTATTATTCAAGTTTTAGAATTTCTTCCACATGGCCACTTTGAGAAAACAGACTGATTTTTTTTATATGGATGATCATTTAAAAATTATAAGGAAGCCTTATTGCCTGATCAACTGTATCATGCTTGTAAAAGTTATGATATGTTTATTCATGATAAAGATGAACTGGTAATTAATAACGATGCATCATAATTATTAAACAAAATAACTTTTGCAAATCTTAAAAGCCAGACTTACATAAGTATGATGATTACAAAACATAAACATCTGTCATTAGATGAGAAGACAAGAAGGCATGATGTAAAATCATCCTTTTCCTGTTTTTCTTCCCCTTTCACAGGGATCGATTTAATTGTCTCAACTTTTTTCAGTTTTAACATGCATATTATTATTTCAGAAAGAGTTTCTGAACTTGTTACAAATAATATGAACTGTAGTTGCATCAAAGTTTTTAAATGTTTTATGCACTTAAGCATTTATCACATCTAATGTGTAGGCGTCTCTTCATCAAACAAAATGCTAGAAATAAAACTAAAGATAAAAGCAAAGACAAGTGAAGATTAAAATATTAAAATATGCACAAAAAATTAATAAATGCCTAAGGTAGAAGGAAGTAACTGCAGTTACATTGTCAACATAAACTCAATAATTGTAATGAGAATATCATTTGAGAAATACCAACAAAAGACAATTCTTCACATAATCTTTTTTACAAAATGTACTTATATTCTTCATATTTTTCTATCACAACAGATGGGTTTCATTGGCTATCATATGGGCCCAATTAGAGAATAAAGAACAAAATACCAAAATAAAGGATACTTTGTATTCACATGAAACTGTTTAAATGTTTTCATATGGAGATAATTGTAAAATATGTAAGAGATTAAACTTTATAATTTACTAATTATTATTTTGTGAAAATGCACAGTATTATTTTATAAAACTGATTTTATATTCTTAAGACAAATTAAATAAATTTTATATTTGCTATTTTTAATTTTATTGTTTTAAGGAACCTAAAACTAAAAATGAAGATTACTTGAAAAATATTTTAAGATAATTTAAATTTGAATTTTTGAACTGAACTTAAAGGAAAAACAGGTTTCTTGGACAAAAGTATTCTTTTTGTATTTGATGTCTTTGCAAGAAAAATGTAAAATAAAATCATTAATTCATTAAAAGACTTAAAAAGAAATGGTTTCCAGTGAAATTCTTTGAAACCATAGTAATTGAGTTTTAATTATCAAAGTCAACTGTTAACCAAATTGTTGTTGTTAACTGTGATGAATAAAACATTATTAATCTAATTACTTTCAGTTCTTCCATCACCACCGAGTAATAATTTTTTATCTTTAAATTTCTTATTTGTTATGGGAATGCAAGTAAGATTTAATTGTATTTTTCAAGTTCAGAAATGATAATAAAAGGACATTCTTGTTTACCTGCTCTGTTTTTAATACTGTTCTTTTCATTTCTCAGAAAAATCAAATTATTTAATAAGTTAAAAGTCATAGACTTTGTTATTCATATAAATTTACTTTTTTTGATTTCTTGATTCTTCAGTTTTTATTTCATTCATGCAAAATTTATTTGTACTCCAGTCAATGTTACTTTTAATATTTTTTAATTTAAATATGTGATATTAGTAATTATATCAAGTATAATAATAGTTAAGAATTTGGTTTAATCATTGTAAATATTTGACCTTTCTTTTCTCTTAGATATTATTTTTTTCTGCAAGTAAAAAAAGACATCTATGATGGACGATTACCAGTGAGCTTTGAAGAAATTATTGAGCTGGCTGCTTATATTCTGCAATGTGAGTGTCTGCTTCCTAATATTCTTATTTTTAATCAACATCTTTGTGCTTTGTTTCTCAAAATATTGTTTCTGTTTTCTTTCCTCACTGAAAAGTGTTGACATATTTAACTTTTTTATTATATTACTCAGACAAGTTAACAGCATCCAAATGTAATCTGGGAGGGAAATATAATACCTCTTTTTAGGTCTCTTTTGCACTCCTTTTAGTCTAGTAAGTTCTTGTAGTAGGAACATATTCTTTAGAAATATGAGTGATACTTTGGAAGAAAAATGGAAAGCAACAAATGCATGTGTGTAAAATGCCTGTTATTACTTATTTCCAAAAATATGCCAACACAATCTAAAAATCTGCTTAAAATTTTTCATAGCTTTTACTGAATTTCCTTAAACAGCTAGTTCTCAATTAAACATTCTTAATGAATGTATTATTTAAGTAAGTTACAAATCTTGTTTAACTTTGAAGCATTGTTGAAGCTAAGTTTTTCTTTTGCCAAGTCCTGATACTTTTTTCTTGTATACTTTTTATAATTTCAAAAGGATTTTTTCTTTATTTGCAGTTTTGTTTCATTCATAAAACTACTTAAAAGCATGCTTAAGAGTTTAAAACACACACACATATATATATATATTCATAATGAAAAATAGCATCAAATTGTATGTATAAAGCAGATAATTTTTTTAAATATTATAATCTGAAATTTAAATAGTTTCTTCAGTCTTCAAAATATTTGTAAAGTTTGGTAAGAATTTAATGCAGACATTATTCTCACTGTAAATGTTATTTTTAGTGGATACACATATTTGAGTAGACACACTCTGTTTATTTATTAAACAGTGTATTTATTTGTTTTCATCTGCCGACCAAAATTTTTAAGAAAACTTATTAAAGAAAAAATTGTGTTCTCCAACAGGAATTGAACCTGTGTCTCTCAAGGCAGAAAGAGCTACCATTTAGCCCGGCACGCCTTACTGATTTGGCCCTGAAGAGCAGTCAGTCAGGCGAGGGTAAATTTTCTGTTTCTCCTGTCATAGATCTCTCAAAGTTTTTCATATCTGGATAGTTTCGTATCCAAAAGAAAACAAAGAGAATTTTTTAGAATGGATTTTTTTATTAATCTGGCAGACTTTTATCACCTTAAACATTATTTTTAGTGAATACTCATATTTCAGTAGACGCTCCGTTTATTTATTAAACAGTATATTTATTTATTTTCATCTACTGGTCTGAATGTTCAAGAAATGGAGTGCCAGGCTAAACAGTAGCTCCATTTGCCCTGAGGGACACAGGTTTGATTCCTGCCAGAGAGTGCAAATTTTTCTCACATAAGATTTCTCAAACATTCAGGCTAGTAGACGAAAATAAATATACTGTTAAATAAATAAACAGTGTCTACTCAGTTTCAGGCATCCACTAAAAATAATGTTTAAAGTGATAAAAATCTGTCAGATTAATAAAAAAAATCCATTTTAAGACATTATTCTGTATGATTAAAAATAATCAGCAAAAAATTGACTGCAGTAGCAATCATAATAGTAATTATGAGGTTTATTTGTGATAATGTGATTCTTACCAAGAAAGCTTTCTTTGCAAAATTATTCTGTATTTTTGAAAGTTTTATTGTTTAAACAAACAAATATATATATATATATATATATATATATATATATATATATATATAATTTGATAAGGGTTAATTATTTTTCAAATTCTTTATTGTAAACTGTTTTCTTTTAATAATAATATTTTCCATCCTGACTGAATGCCTTGCTTTTCTTGGTGAGTCAGTCATTGAAGATGGTGCTATTCTCATCAAACCAGTCTTGGCGAGTCTGCTTCCTGCAGCCTAAGGATGATTTTGCCATTTCTGTTATAGTTTCTTTGAAGTGATTCCATTTCTGGGTTGGATTTCCTGTTTATGGCTGGATGGCTGACAGTTTCTTCTTAAGGGTGGTCGGAAATTTATACAGGCATGGCTAGTGTTGAAGTTTGAAGGTCCTGAAAGATGGCCATACAGCTTTTGGGTACTTTTTGTAAGGATGATCACTGACCAACTTGAATGTAGTGTGGAAGAATCTAGTCTGTCTAAAATTCTGTTCTTCTCATGGCTCTTGTGATGTAAACATTTTAGATGTTATGCCAGTGGACAATGACATAATAAATCAAATGCTATCTGTGGTGCATCTACATTGCCTTATATTTTGTGGTCATTCTAAAAGCTATGTCCATAGTGGTAAATTTGCTAAGGAAGATCATTGCTCTTCATGACACTGTGTCTGCTAAGTTTTTCATTCCAATTATCTTGGTACTGATTCATTGAAGTTTCTTAATGAGAAAGCAAGATTCATGTCCAAACCAGGCTTATAAGGAAATTCATGTAATGTACAATTGATGGCAGATTAAAAAGGAGATTAGATACAGAACCATGCACACACAAATAATACCAAGCAGTTCTTCAAAACCATAAAGTCTGTTTTTTGGGGGTTTTTTTTCTAAGTCAAGCGCAGCTCTTCTGCTTTCTGTAGAAGATCCTTGCTTATCTAGGACATAGAGTATCAACAACAGATGGAAAGAGGACATCAACCAGCTCCTCAACTGCTCCTCTACTATTGACACTTGACTAAATCCCGAACACTTGAATGACCTCCCATCTGTGGTCAAGGTTAGAACAGCTATCAAGCATAAGTGTCAGATCATCCAGCAAGAACAGCATTACTGTATAAAGCCCTCAACCAGTAGTCAGTAAAAACATTCTATAACATCCTAATCAGTATTCTGGTCCACATCATTTTTCATGGACTAATCTGAACTCTAATATGGCTTATGGTCTGAATGAAGTACTGTGGATATGAGACAAATGCAGAAAAAATGCTTAGAACAGAATATAAAATGTCCAAAGATATGTACTCAACTGATGAACTTAATGACAAATCTAACATCTCTAGAAGAGTTAAACAGGATTGTGTCTGTGCACCAGTGCTGTTCAATTTTTTCTTCAATCAAGTGCTATGACATGCTGTCAAAGACCTAAATTTAGGCATTTATATCAAATACTGTTTGGAGAGGTCACTCCTTGAGTGACATTGCATTGCAAAATCCACAAATACTGTGCACCAAGGAAATTGCCTTGATTAGATTGTGCCTTACTGCACCCCACTGCAGCAATACAGTCCTATCAATGACACACAACTACTGGGTGGTGATGGCTCCAAATATGTGGAGTGTACCATTCCAGAATAATGTTAAAGATACATAAAACAAGGCAAATGCTAAAAAGAGTCCAGCTTAAAGTTCTGCAGCATGCAGGCATTAACATCTTCACTAGACTGGAAGTCTTCAATGCTGTTGTACTCTTGTTAAATTTGTATAACTATGAAACATGGACATCATATTGCAGAAATGTCAAACAATTGCTCTCTGTAGATCATCATGAAAATCCACTGGCAGGACCAAATCACCAAACTGATATCCCTGGAGAGAGTTAAATTCATATGCCTTGCAGCCATGATTTTAAGGTAATCTGGTCATGTGATATTCACATCATCCAGAATGCTATAGCAGATGTTCTATAAGGAACTGTAAAAGACTGTCTTACCCAAAGTCACCAAAGCAAGAGTTACAAGAAAACCTTTGAACTCTAACCCACCACTACTGACAGGTCTAAGTAGTATAACATGTGTTTCATGGTAGCAAACAGCTTTCAAGCTGATATGCATATATTGCATTTTGAAGAAAAGCTTGAAAAGACACTGGAAGGTATCTGATCCTGTCCCAACAATCAATATTCCATGGCCATCTGCAATTATATCTATACATCTAACTTCAGTCCTAAAATCATATGTATGTCCACAGGCCTGCACAGCTCATCACATCACTTGAACTGCAAGTTTCTTCATTGCAAAAGAAAGTTATTGGAAATAATTTAAAAGTTTTCAGGCTTATCAATCATTAAGTGTGCTTAAAGGCCTCTCCTCCAGTCATCAATGATTTAAATGAAAATTTTCCAATTTGTAGGTGATTTTATCCCCAGCAAATATGCTTTCACATTTATTTCAAAATATACTTCTTTAAGGAATATGAATTCTTGCAATTATTCTTTCGGGATTACTATTTCCTTGGCTCTGATATTTCAAAACTGTTTTATATTTTGTCGATTATGTATGCATGAGATAGATGTATGCATTATTTATATTTATTATTCACTACACTATTGCCTGTTATATGAATGTTCTCATTCCAGTGCCCATGTTTAGGTATATCTCATCTTATTTTTAGTACTGCTCAATTATTGCTTGCCCTGTTTCCACTGATTCCAATTACATATTGTTTTGCCCAAGGATTGAAATCCCAATTACTAGTCACCAAATTCATGAACCAATGCTTTAATCCACTAGTCTATTGTCCATAGCACAATTCTCTGTAGAGAACTAAACCTTACTTTATGTTGTTTTCTTACAATTTAAATCAAGATAAAAAAAATTCAAAAGCAATATTTAAATTATTGCACTGTTTTAAAACTTTTATAAAAATATTTGCTTATTGCTACAATTTGTAATGATTTTGAAATCGATAACATACAAATTATATAATTTTATGCAGATGTATTTTAAGTTTATGTAAAATATGAAATATGTATCTGGCCTAGGTTCATAGATAAGAATTAAAAAAAATGTATATGTTTTATTTGTTACAAAGCAACAGATACTGTGTTTTATATACACAGATGTGTACTTGAAGTTTTTATTTATTGTACTGAAGTATTTACAGAATAGTTACTGCTTTTTTTTCTTTTTTTTTCTTTCTTTTGTTATCTCTACAATTAAAGATTCAACAATTTGGGATCTTTTAAATCTGTATATCATTCTTTCTATAAGTCTACATTTTTGGTGAAACATTTCCCTTTTAACTTTATTTTACTGGGTAGGTTTCCTACCTCCATAAAGAGCATACTTTTATGTCTTATCTTTAATGGGATTTAAGTACTGTCTAGAATATTTAGGCCAGATGTTGACCAACATTATTGAAGAACTTCAAGCTTTGTCATGCCTACTTATTATGTGTGTGTGTGCATACACATATAGAGGCATCCCATTTCAGATTCTACCTGCTGGTGTGTTACCTGACCTCTTCTATACTAAGATGACAAACATCTTAAATTCAACAAGGCTCTAATTTCATGTTTGAATGACTTCTTCCAGATTTGGCCTATGCTATTCCTCTTTCCTTATCCCATTTGCCATTTTGTTCACCTGTCCTATGCTTCTCATGGAAGGAGGTAATATGCAGAATGCATTTTCATCTTTAATATGATATACTTTTCATTGTACATTTAAGACAAGTTACATATGGTGAAACTAGTCAGAAAAATAGTTGTTTTCTCTTTTTTTTTTGAGTACAAAGGAACCAACTGAAATATTTTTACTGCTCTAATTCATTACAAGATTCTTTTTTCCCTTAGTTTCTCATGAGAGAGAGAGAGAGAGAGAGGATACCATCTTAGAATAATGTTTATTTGTTAAACAGAAAATGTTATCTCTGTGCATATCTACTATAATCTTCACTCAAATTAGCAACAAAGCTTATCTTCACCATTGTCTTAAAATTAGCCATATATATTAAATGAGATGAGAAAAACATAGCTCATCACTAGACTCCTAAATGCAATAAGCTCTACAGATATAGAATTTTTTTTTAATGTTACCAGCACCAGTAAAAGTAAACTTACAAATCAATTTATAGTCAACTAAGAAAAATATGATCAAATTACATTGTTTTGAGAATTTATCATTAGCATGTTATCCCTACATAAGCTAATATTCCAGTATTAGAATGATGAAAGTGCCCTTCCATAAACTAAACAAAGCTTATGGCCACAACACATTGAAACACCATTTCCTGTATGATAACCGAAGTTAAGCAATGTTGAGCCTGGCCAGTACCTAGATGGGTGACCATTTGGGAATACCAGGTTCTGTAGGCTTGGATGTGCGTGTGGCATGATGGATAATGGTTTGGAATTGTTAATTGGAGAGCTGGGTTTGTTACATTCACTTAATGGCAAATACCCATGAGAAAGATATAAATCAACCTCTTCTCTCCCTAGCTATGGGTTAATTTGTCAGAATTGTATCACTAAACTCAAAAAAAATCCTTACAATCTAAAAAATATTTTCTGGCTTTAAATAACTTGCAAATGTTTGATAAGCCATAGAAAACAAATCACTCAATAAACAAAGTAATAAGAAACAGGAAATTTTCTTTAGAAACAAAGAAAAGAGTGCGGGACTGCTATGTAATATAAATCTTTCTATATGGCAGTGAATGCTGGACAATTTCCTCACAGATAAAGAAACTTGAGACAACAAAGATGTGGTTCTACAGAAGGATGCTGAACATACTATGAGTGAATCATAGGAGCACTAAGGAAATTTTAAAGAAAATGCCAAAAGAAATTTATAGTATAGAGTTAAAAACACGGTTGAAATTTCTGGAACAAATAATGAGGAAAAAGGGCTTGGAGAATTTGAAACTCACAGGACATAGTGAAGACAAGAGAAGCAAAGAGAAACAGTGAATAGCCTACCTAATTAGATAAATATTATTAAGAGATACATAGGAAAGGAAGTTGTGGAGAGCCATTATTGCCCATGTCTTGAAGGAACACAGCACATAAAAGAAGTTTTTAATAGTCATGGTAATATTAGCTATTTCCTCATTTCAGCATTCATTGACTAAGCAGCCAAGTGATACTTTTGGTGAAAATTTATAAACTATTTCTAATAAAACAATTTTGCAGGAAAATAGGTTTCTCAAGTCCAGTACCAGTTATTTCTCTTTCTAGTATTGATGGGGGCTTCCTTCTTAATCTTTTCTTTCAGCTTATGGTCATCATGTTGAAATACAGGTTCTCATCTAATCACCAAAGTTAAGCAATGTCTAGCTTGGTCAATACCTAGATGGCTGACCGTTTCAGGATACCAGGTGCTGTAAACTTGGATGTGCAGGTAGTGTAATGGATAATAGTATAGAATTATTAATCAGTGTACCAAGTTCAAATTCCAGTTGGTATCATTACATTTACTTATGTGTAAATACCCTTGAGAGTGATGTGAATCCATCTCTTCTCCCCAAGTTTAATTTAATATTTACTCGGAAAAAAAAAAGAATTATTCAATATAGAAGTGTTTTGGCTTTAAATAACTTGAAAAAGTTTAATAAGCCATAAAAAATGAATAAAAAGCTTTTCTTTGAAGTAGTGTGAAATGTCAACATTTTGATTGTCATTCACTCTTCAAATCACATGTGCTATTCATTTTAATTGTTGCGGACAGTGATAGTCCTTGCATGATGTAGTTTCTGCTATTTGTTACAGTATTTTATTTATGATTATGTAGCACCAGTCCATGAAATTTAAAAAAGGATCATTCTCCTTAAGACGTGCAGGCTTCATTTACTCAAACCCATTTTTAATCATGGATCTGAAAAAGCAGTTGAATACAGCTCACAGTTTAGATATTTCTGAATGATTTTGGCATGACATCCATATGAAAGTCACGATTTCACAAGGCTATTTAAGAATATGACTGGAATTTTTAAGCCTTGAGCGTTGTAGTAACTTGTGTTGGCTGAAACTACCCCTAGAGCAGCCTATTCTATGTTTAGTTTCCTTATCTTCCTTACTAAATTTGTTATAACTGATCCATACACTGAGGTATGACATTCACAATAGAAAATGTCTGTATTGTCTGTTTAATAACATTTGAACTAATAAAAAAAAATTGTCTATTTTCTTGATTTACAGATTTTTATTGTAAATTAGTTAATTAAAATAAAAGAAAGGAAATCATCATCATCATCATCATTGTCTACAAGTTGAAATAAAAGTAAATTCATTTTCAATGAAATAAGTAAACAGATTCATTTGTAAACTAATGCATTATTTTCTTTTGTTTTTGAAGTGAAAAAAAAAAAAAAAACACACAGGAAGATATGAACTATTAAAATGCATGTGATATGAAAATAATGTGAAAAGCAGTTGTAAGAAATTAGAATAAGGGATGCTCCAAAAGTACTGCCTTAATTTTATTTTTTCCTGGAGCCTACAACAAATAGAGGAAGCACAATAAATAACTTCCTCATAACAAAGTCAACATTATGGATTTTACTTCAAAACAAGATGTCAAAACATTTGCATTTGTGAGCATTGAATTCTCTTTACATAAATTAAACAAAAACTATTGACCATATTATAACCATATTGAATTACATTTGTTTTTCTATTAAAATATCAACACTTTTGTCACTTTCTTTATTCCAGCTGAACTTGGTGATTATAATCCAAAGCTACATACAGAAGGTTATGTGTCTGAGTTTAGATTTATACAGCATCAAACTATTGAACATGAACAAGCAATTGCTGTTTTGCACCGGAGACTTGCGTAAGTTTAACATTATTAATATAAATTCAAGGATCATGCAATAATGATGAACTGCAACTTCTAATTTTATTCCTTAAACTTTAGCAAAAAAATGAAACATAAAAACATCCCCTCCCCAAATTTATAGACAAATCCTATAGATGTATGCTGGGATTTCTTTCTAACCAATAAAAATGGACCACTTCTTGATCTCATCCACCATATATTGCTTTTTTCTTGTCTTGATGTCATAACACTACAATCATTTGACTGTATCCCTTTTGTGTGTGAACACAATTCTTACTTTGTGAATTTTTTCACCTTATCACTGTTACTTTGCCTAGTTTTGAGTTGTATATATATATTGTTTGCATTGTGTAATTATGTAAATGTATTTACTTTCTAATTAGTCTTTTTAGTGTACATTGTATATGCAGTAAGCAAAACTTGAATCTAAATTCAGTGCTTATATATTATATACATTATCAAAAATATATCAAGTAAAACTCAATCACAAAGTGTCAGTTGCAAATGATTAGGATGTTTTAGAATTAAAATATTTAGGTGTAGCAGAAAAATTAATATTATAAATTAATAAAGGCTCAAATGTTTTTTATGAACTACTTCTAATAATTTGGATCAAGATTTTAAAATGTTTTTTGTTTATCCTGAGAGTTCTGGAAGATCTCCAACCAAATTCTGAATAGAGGCAAAGCAACTGTACCCACTATTATAAATAACCCTGAGGTCATCTTATCCACATCAAATAAAGCAAAGTGCTTTGCCTTGATCTTTACCTCTAACTCAACATTAAATGACATAGGACAACCCCTTCCTGACTTCTTCCATCTCACTGAGCACAATCTTAGTAGTATTATTATTACAGCCTGGAAAGTCTCAAGACTTATCAAAAGTTTGACTCTAAGAAAGTCACTGGCCCAGACAAAATCCCAGTGGTTGTCTGTGGAAGGTATGAAGTGTATGCCTGGTTTTCAAGAATGCTGGTGAGTGCTCATCCCTCTCTCAGTATAGACTTATCAGTCTCCTCAGAATCATCAGCAAGCTTTTTGAGGCTATAATCAACAAGATGGTTGTTGATCATCTAAATAGGAACAATCTCTTGAGCAACAAGCAGTATGGTTTTCAATTGACCCAATCCATTGCTGATGTTCTAACTGCCATTACTGTAAAAAATTGCAGAATTATATTTACTTTGCTTGTTTTAGTTTATTCAGTCTCTAAAAAGAGGATGCTTATTGTCATGGGTCCTTACCTGTAACTACAGAATGAACTCTTCCTAACACTATGCATACTACGCCTCTCAAGAGAGAGGGTCGATCGAGTCGAGCCAATAGTAGTTCACTCCAAACCTGACTGACAGTCATACTAACACCTTCCACATCTTGTATTATTATTTCGTGTAATATACCTTCGTTATTTCTACTCTTGTGTTCGTGTTGTTCTTCCTTGGTCCTAACCTGGACCATAACACTTATAAAACCCTAAATATTTCTTCATGCTTTCTTGTTTATCTAATGTTTCTGATATTCTATAATATTTTGCAACATATACTTATTTGCAAATTTGTCCAAGCTTCTTTCTGTTTCTATAAAAAGATAAATATTGCCCTGATTTAATAGAATTTAGATTGCACTTACTTGAATTTTTCATGTTATTTCATCTAACTTATACAAACATATCTCTCAGTGATTTAGTGCACTGAACTGCATGCAATGTAATTTAAAATTTCATCATCTTGTGTGAGGATCATTCACTAGAAAGTCTATATAGGAAAAAAAATTCTGATATCAAAACCAGATTAGATTGGATTCCTTAATCATGTTTGAAATTAATAGCAAAGTATTACTCTTGAATAAGGCAATGATAAAACTGAATGTTATACCTTGGAATCAAAGGAACAAATGAAGAATTATGATTTCTAGTATCTTTTACAAGAATTGGCCCAGATTAATTTAGCATAAAAATCAAAGATCCAGAAATATCCTAAGCTATCCATTAGGCTAACAAATACTTTATACTGTGGAAAAAATACATAAATAAATGGCAACTCATGCTATAAAAATTTTGTTTTGGACTTATTATTGAGGTTTAAAATAATTAGACAAGGTGAATGCTTATTTGAAGAAAGAGACAGGAAAAAAGTTCATAATGGAAAGAAAATTGGTTAATAGAAATAAATCTTAAATAAAATGAGTAATGACTTACAAATTCTGAAATCTTTCATTAGAAACAATTTTGAAAATAGAAACATTTTAGGCTGGTCATGAGAAAAAATATTTACAATTAGGCTCAGAGAAATTCATGAGAGAAAATGAACATATAGGTGTAAGCATTTTAAAAAAAATCTGTTTAGTAAAAACAGTTTTAATAAACAAATTTTTGGAATAAGGCTTTTCAATTTTATTTACTCATTTTTAAAATTTTATTATGTAATTTTAATGATATATATTTATGCTTTACTTTCTTTTTCAGTGGTCAAGTCCCTGCTGTTGCTGAGTACCGGTTCCTAGACAAGGCTAAGTGGCTGGAAATGTATGGAGTGGATCTCCATCCAGTCAAGGTACAGATGATTCTGATTATTTATAAAGCAAATTCAAAACCTATATAATGATTTAGCTTTCATTAATAGATGTCTTTTCATTATTAAAATGACTTTAAATGCTCTTTTTACAGATTGTTTTAAATTTTATTGAATTTATAAATTTGTTGGTTACTTTGTCTTCTTTATAGAAACCTTGCAATATTTTGACTCATAACTTACTAACATTTGTCCCAAGCAGTCCCCTAAGTACTGACCAGGCTTAACACTGCTTAATTGTAGTGATCAAGCAAGAACCAGTGTTTTCAGCAGGATCTGACTTCATAGTGCAACAAAACAAAAAAAAAAGTGATAGTAATAAAATATAATATGAAACATGTTTTTTTAAAAAAATTTACTATAACCTTATCAAAGGTGACAGATAAAGATTATTTACATTATTCGGACTATTATCCTCATCTTTGTCGCCATATTTATCACAACGTTTCAGCCGTTGTACACTCCGGCCTTCTTCAGGTGGTTGGAATGTCGAACTGAACCCTTTATTTCGCTCACCGGGGTAGACTGTTCTAGTTCCACATGCCATGTTTGATGGATGTCAGTTATCAGTTATCTCCTGTTAATTTCCCACTGAAAGTTCTCCACAGCCTTAACCGGGTATTGAACTCACATTCTTTGGGTCCTGTCACTGGATCTAACCAATGCCTTTATCCCCTGTGCCATGTGTCCTTGAGGACACATGGCACAGTGGATAAAGGCATTGGTTAGAGTTCAATACCCAGTTTTTAATTTAATTTATTTTCTATTAGATCCAGAAGACCTATATCAATTCATTGCTAATTTTCTTTGTGAATTGTAAGTAAAGAAAGAAATTTAATTTCACAGCATAAGGAAATTCATTTTTCTATTTTGCCTACAAAGTTAAAGATCAGAATTAAAAGCAGTTGAAATTAAATTTGCCTTTTTTTTGTCTGCAGGGCGAGGGCAATATGGAGTACATGCTTGGCATAACACCTACAGGAATAGTATTACATAAAAATAAGAATAAAGTTGGCAATTATTTCTGGTAAGTATACTTATAACTAAAGGCTGAGTGCAGTAATACCAGTTACTTCAGAACATTTTTTTTTTAGTTGTACAAATTCATTTCTTGAGATTGAAAATGTAGTATCAACATTTCGAAGCATGCACATGTTTTTAACTATATTTTTTGACAATTACTGATTTTTATCAGTCATCCTTTCCTATTTTATCATTCCAAGATAATGTAAACGATATAATTGAAGTCTCTTTGAAAGAGGAAAACTACAATATTTGAAATGAAAGATTTCAGATATTCATTAATTTGTATTTCCTTTTTTTAAAGTAACATTTAATTTTTTTTTTTAACTTCAGGCCAAGAATAACAAAGGTACGATTCAAAGACAGAATATTCTCAATAAAAGTGAAAGATAGAAATGTAAGTTTTTTTTCATCAACAAAGCTTTTTTTATTTATTTATTGCAATAAAGTTATTTTATACTGAATGTGTATTTATAAATTTATAACATTCACAAGGAGAAAAAATTTGCACACTTTATAAATATTTATTCTTGTTATAAAATGTCATAAAGTTTTGCCATTTATCACAAAATTCAGGAATATTGTCTTTTTACAGATATACTCTATCTGAAATTTTTACATATTTACATTTTTTTCTATTTCTCTTATGTACCAGGACTTTTATAGTTGAACTCTTGAAACTTCAACTTTTACCTTATCCTTCTGTATATTATGTATATAAAGATTTATTTTGCATTTGTAAACATTCTGTGCATTTTCTTTTAATCATACACCCAAACTAGATATCCCCTATTATATAAAATAACAGACATTATTAACAGATACCTTCCTATCTTCCATAATTACACAGTAGCATAAGACACCAGTTCATTTCTGAGTTTAAAAGCCAATGACATACGTAAAAAAACAATTTTTTTTTTTTACACTCAAAGTGAATTAATAATTTATCAATAATAATTTATTCATGAATTGAAGTGATTGTTATCTTTAATTTTGAACAAATCTAATAAAATTTATTTTTACTCTATTGTTGCTTTTGCTTCATATATTGTAAGTTTTTCTGAATAAAATCCTTTACTAAAATTTGATATTTTTATTTTCACAGAATGATGAACACTGGTATGCTTTTGAATCTCCCAATAAAGTGACATGTAAACATTTATGGAAATGCTGTGCTGAGCACCATGCCTTCTTCAGGTAAAGTATATCATCAAATTGAAAGCTTTCCATTCAATTTACTATTCCCTTTAATTTTAGAAACAAAGTCACAGTAATTTATGATTAATCTCCAAGTTTCTAATTACTTAAGAAAATCTCCCTTTACCTTTTAAAAGATCTTTTTTTCTTATTGTTATTATTCAACTTTGGAATTATTTGGTGACATGTGGACAATATGTTTAAGTTCATATTGGAGTATTTAGTAGATTTTGTACAAAGTATTTATAAAATTTAGAAATTTTAAGAAAGTTGGGTGACATTTTTTTAATTAATATTATTTTTATTAATTTATTTTCTGCCGGTACAGTCAATCCAGAATATTAATTAATATTAGAATTAATTCAAATTTATATCCAGTCTCAGTGAAGTATTTAAACAATTGAACAAAAACATGATTTGACTAATTACTTATTCAAAGTAAAAATTATGTTGGTTTCAAATGCATTGATTGAAGGTTTAATACTCACTAGACTTGGCGGAGAACAATGAATTCAACTAAAAAAAAATGTTTTCCTTTCAAAACAAACACAGCCTAACAAGACAAATAAAAATGACATATTACTTTTTAATATAAGGTTTTATATATATTATATACATTTTTTTAATAGAGAATGAGAGAAATATTAGTAGGTTAACCAAATTAATTATTTTCATCAAATTTGAAAATGTATTTACAAAAGATATCTGGTTGTTTTGTATACAAATTTAAAACCATGAACTCAAAAGCAGGTGGAGGCAAATAAACAATAATACTAAAACTTTTAATACTCCACCACAAATACCTATAATTATTACTACTCCTATAAAAGTCAATAATCAACTGCTAACAACCAGTATGAAATGAAGACATAAAGTACATTGATATTCATAAGGTTTTCATTTTTACTTTCACAATTGAATTCAGTAACAAATTTCATTTTTAATAGAATTTGGCTTTTTAATATGGCATTGAATGATACAAAAACAGGAATTTTAAAAGGTTTTTAAATAGTAATAATTAGAATAGTAGGACATATGTGGATGATGTGCATGTGGTGTAATGAATATTGGTGCAACAAGTGGAATTAGAGATCTGAGTTCAAATTCCAGGCTAGGCTGTTGTGTTCGTTTTCTCATAAATGCCCTTGAGAAAGGCATGAATCGATTTCCCCCTATCCTCCAATCTACCAATGAGTTAAATAGCAGAGTAGACAAGATGCTCTAGCCTTGTGGCAACCTGTCTAAAAGAAGAAAAATTAAATTCTAAACTTTGGAGAAGGCAACAGGAAACTATTATCTTTCCCAAGAATAGCAATTCACAGATAATAAATTAAAAGAATTTATGGAGAGACATGACAATCTTAAAAAAAAAAACAATGTAGGAGACTTAATAACTATAAATATTTAAAATATGAGATTCTAATTTTTTCATTAAAATAACAGGAAAATTGAATAAATTATGCATGCATGTGTGTGTGCACGTGTGTATATATATATATATGTGTGTGTGTATATATATATGTGTGTGTATATATATATATATATATATATATATTATATTTCCCTCAGTACCAACTTCCATGGGGTATGGAAACTTTACATCTGTAAACATTCTAGCAAATTGTTCAACTATGGCTGTTAAGCACTGTCCCAAAAGATTTACTTTACTGTTTGATGTTGTGCAAATTTAGAAGTCATTTTTCAGTAGTAATTTTGGATTCAAAGCATGAGTTAAAAACTACTCAGGAATTGAAGGCTCTCCAAGCTCTGCCCAGAGGCAAAGCAATAGGAATGAGAAAGTTATGTTGATAGGTAAGAATATGTAGAGAAGGTTTTCTTTTTATAATATTAGATTTTATTTACAAACACAGAGCATATCTAGAGCACATTTGGTTTAGTTTAGCTTCTTTTCCCTTCTAAATTTTCTTAATGATGTATATGTTACTATTTTTCTCAAGTTACCATTTGTCTACTTGCAAACTTTACAAGACCAATGATATACACATCTCATATGCATCTTTTTGAATAAGAATGGAAGGTGAAGTGACTAATTTTGATCAAAGACAAAGCATGAAGAGCTAAACATTTTTCAGCAATGATTTATGTATTGATACATTTATGAATAAGTTTTTCTTATAGTTATCTCCCTTGCACTGACATCAGGTGGCAGTATCTTTGTTATAACAATGGTAGACTTTTCAAAAATGTTCACAAGATGAACAAACTCTGTAAAAGGGCAAAGTGTAAGAATAATAACTGAACAAAATGTATTCAAAGATTCATGTAAAAACTTGTTAGTAATAGTAAGGACTTAACAAAATATCAGTTTCATATATGCCACATTTAGTTAGGATCAAAAATAAGATATAGTGTAGGCTTCATTACAATAAGAAAAAAAAGAATCTTTTTTGTGATGCTAAATTGATAAACTTGTTTTTATTCATGAATGCCATAATGGGACAAATAATTTGTTAAAAAGAATGAGTTGTAATAAGCTTCCTTTCATTAGGGGCTTAGAACTAGAATGCTTCTTAAACAAAACTCCTTTTCATTTTAATCTCTCAGTGACATCATAGGAGGCTGCATAATATGTATAAAAAAACAGTTTAAACAAATATTCAACTTTTTTTCAAGCAGACAATGCAAAGAAGAAAACACAACATGAATATAAATTCTTTTCTCACAAAATTGAATTAAATATCCTTCCTACAATAAGATCACAGAACAAGAAAAAATACGAAATGAATCATTAGTAAATTAGTCTAATGTTACAAATAAAACTTTCCCAACAAATGAAATCCTTAATGAGTTCAGTGTAATTTCTCTTATTTTATTTAAATTAATGTATCTCTTCTCAGACAAATGTGGACCAGTCAATCAGTTTATTTATTAGAAAGAATTAAATCTGAGATTACTAATAGTTTCTACTACTACTACTACTACTACATCATAGCATAAATGAAGAAACTCAAAGGTCAGTGTTTCATTATATCTGCAAAGAAAGTATAATAATAAAATTTTATTTCACTAATTATATTCTCTTTTTTTTTTTGTTGTTGTTTTTGTTGTTCCTAGTGCCCGAACAGAAAGAATGATAAAGGAAAACCAACAGAGCCGTGACCAGCCTGAGGTCAACAGAGTGGCCAGTAAAAAGCATCAAAGACGATCACATTCCGATCCCAAAATTAGCGGTAAGTGCATTCCTGAAACTAGGAGTCATTTTGTGCATGCTTTGAAATAAAAAGGAAAAGATGAAAGGAGATCTTGCTTCATTCAATAGCAGGTACTATTTGACCTTGGCATAAACAGGATTCTGAAGCTTTTGAATCCTTAGAGCCCCACCCTTTCATGAGCATGCCAACCCTTAAGCCATTTTTCATATGCAGTCTACTTTGAGAGAATTTCTAAGAACAATTCTGTCTTAATCACTGAAGGTCAGTTGTGTTTCAATCATGTCTGTATGAAATGAATGAAAAGTTGAAAGTGAAAAAAGATTATTTCTAAGTGTAAATGCAAAACACTTGAAATATGTTCAGAAAGAATAGCAACAATGATTTTAGAAATCACTATTGATTAAATAAGCATAAAATCTCTATTTTATGAGTGGGAAAAATTTTGTTTTTGCTACTGAGTTATTTAAAAGAAATTAAATTTTATTTTTTTTAATGTTTAATGGCTTGAACTTTGTGTAGTCATCTCTTATGAACATATTCAGAATCATTTCTGAAACAGTTTTATGACACAAAGATAATCTCCAAAATGAAAGCAAATATAAAATGTAAATGTATAAAGAATACAGAAAATCTAGATTATAAAAAGCTGTCATACACTCTGTTTATATCAATGGGTAAAATGTTGAATATAAGATGGTTTGCTGCCAAAACAAAGCTATTGTCATCACTAATATGCAATTTCCTGTACACTGACAATTGAGATCTTGTTACCCACTCCCAGAGCAATATTCAACATCTAACTATTAACTTGAAAATAACCGTTGTAATTTCCCAATCTGCTTTAGATAAAGCCTACTTTGAGCCAAGCATTTATGTATATGGCCAGAAATTGCAGGTTGTAAAAAATTTGTATATTTAAGCAGTAAAATATGACAAAAAGCTCTGAAAGATGAAATTTCCTGAATCAAGATGGCAAGTAATGCTTCTGGAAAATTGATGGATGCTTATGGTCTCAGCATAAAATTTTAATTGAGACGGAGTTGAAAGTTTACAAAACTTGTGTATTGCCTTCATTGTTGCATGCATGTGAAATCTGGGACACTTAACATGAAAAGGATAGAATGATTTCACCAACAATGTATCCACCATATATTAGTAGCAAATCTATAAGAGTGATGTTTATATTCTCAAATGCAGTCAGACTATCAGTATAGAGTCTCTGGTAACTCAACATCGGTTGTGATAGAGTGGTCATGTAGTCAGGATTAAAGATGATAGGATCCCTAAGCAGTTTCTATCAATTGAATTGGCTGAAGGAAAAAAAGAAAAGTAGTGCACAAGTCAAAATTGAGATATGGTATGAACGTTACTAAGTGTATGATAGTAGAACAAAGAAGAAACAATGAAAATTTAAAGAAATAAACAGTTGTATTAACATAAAATACAACAAATGAAAAATCTGGGTAAATGTCTCTTGTATGAAAAAAAGAGATAAAGTGGAGTTGTAAAAGGCACATCCAGTGAGACATACAGAAGGAGAGGGAGGATAAGTTGTGATTTACTGGGGTGACAGCATTTGGCAAATTTGTTGAGAATGATATCTTTGGAAAAGAGAGTTCCCTTTTCAATGAAGTGTGTGAACTTGGGTCAAGATGCTGTCCAACTGCCAAATGTCTCTTTGATGAGCTTTTATGCCCTTTTTTTTTAAGACTCAAATCGGCTCCAGTTTTTACTGTGTTTTTTATTTTATGTTATTGGCTGGAAATTCTGGATTGTATTTTATTTTTTTCTTTGAGTATGCGGATAAACAAAAGATATGTGTGGAGCCTTGTGCAGCTGATGGAATTTTAGTTCACTTTCAGTTTTGGGTATTCAGAGCGTTCACATCCAATCAGTCATGAAAATTAGTGTAGCATGAATCAGAAGATCGATTTTAGGAAGAATATAACAGATATTATATCAAGAATATACTGAAGAGGACCAAGATAATAAAAAATGACTGAGAAAACTCCTACTCTGGATCATTCCTCGTGGAGGAAAGCAGTACACAACGTTAAGAGAGACTTTGAACAAAATTATGTTGTGCATGAAAAACTCAAGTAATATTTGTAAGGATCTTGATATTAATTTCTCTGAAAATATTGCTACAAAATTTGATGTAATTTGCAATGAATGTGCATGCATCTGCATAAATAGGACAGGCCTCAAAAATTATCCAAGACACCACATGCAGAGGAAAGTCCTTCATTACACATTATGTGGCATTTATGTAACAACTACTGCATAAGACACCCAATGTTGCCACATCTGTGTAAGACAATGTAAAAATCCTAATAGGATTAAAAATCCACATCTGCACTGCCCATATTTGCGAATGGATCAAATGATGACATTGCTTTTAATTGAGTTGCTACCATCATCATGTAATGTATATGCATATGTCCATGTTGTGCATGAGTGATTTACAAGGGTTTGTACCATTAATGTGCACACACATACACACACAATTTAACTGATTTTGAAATTAGACATTGGAATAATACATTCCCCTCCCAATGATTCTGGACAACCATTACCCTGACCAGAGCAATAAAATCATCATGTTGGAGACAAAAAAAAACAAATTTTTTAAATCCTAAGAATCAGATAGTTATTGGTGCTATTGAAATTCTTGGAAATTATTCAGTAATAAAAAGAATTATTTTAAAAATGTGTTTTAATTTTGTAGAAATATTTTTAGGTTTCATTGAATTAAAATATACATGTGCACATGCAAATGTATATGTACAAACAATTTGAATGAAATTGAAATGGACATATCTGTTGCAAAGGCTAATTATCTTATCTGAAAACAACCCCTAACTATAAGCCAAAATGTGTGGCCTTTTGAAGTCATTTTATGACTTTCATATTTAAACTGGATATATTTTCCAACAAATGTAGTATTTTAAATGAACAAACAATTTATATTTGAAATTTGATCATCTTGCCATCAGCAAAGCAACAGGGTCTAACCTAATATTAAATTAAAATATATCCTCTCTAAGATGAAAAATATTCAGGTTGCATTATTCTCCTCTTATATGTTCTATTCAAATCATTTCACTCTTCTCTGTTATTTAAAATGAAATTTTATTAGTTAATCTATTTCTCAAATAAATTTGTTCCAAAGACTGCTCAAATTTAAGCAGAATATGTAATAGTGTGAAATTTAATTTTAATTTTTAATAAAATTTTAATTATATTACATTTTTATTCTTATTTATTTATTAATTTCCGGCTTATTACTTGAATCTTTATAGATTATTAAAAAACAAAAATTAATGTTCTTTTTGACTTTACAAAAATAATATATTTTTAAACAAGTTGTCAGATCTCACAATATGAAAATGTATATTTGCCAGAGACTCTACCCACAGTTACATGTAGTAAAAATGTCAGACCTTACAACTCATGTTCTGTTGTTTTCCATAAAACCTGGATTCTAATCATATGATCAAATTCAGTAAGCATTATTATTGATCACATCTTTAAAAGTTGTCAGACCTTTCAAACTTGCTCACATATCCAACTAGGAAGAAAATGGCAACAAAATACCAATAACCTTATTTGCTTATACGACAACAAGCATCATCTCATCTACTGGGCTATGCAAGCAAAGTTTGAAAACTATATCTCATGTGAAAACTTCCATTTGCACAATCCTGACTACTTTCACAGTACCAATTTGAAGAGAAATGGCAATGCCATAAAACCAGACCCCCAGCTAGTTGCTAGTCATTCTTCATCCATCATATATGCACTTGCTTGTATCACATGGGTTCTAACAATCACAAGAAGATCTGTAAAAAAAAAAAATTTGAAACTATTTATCTTTGAGTTTATGGTCAGTATATGTCTTAGAATAATTTGATAATGCTTTACATTGTAATTTGATAAACAACATCCATTGATTTTTATTTCTTTTTTCTTTTTTTTACTCAATGTTTTTTTCTTTTTAGTGAGTTGCTATGGTGATCAAGCATCTAAAGGTACATTATCAATGACAATCAGTCCAGAGAGTGTCAGAATGTAAGTTGAACTGTTTTTTGGGGGTTTTTTTTCTAATTATTTATTATACATTTGCATTTATCAAAGTATGAAATTCTTTTAAATCATATAATCAAAATTTCTAAATGAGTATTGCTTTTGATTATCAAAGAAATTATAAACTTATTCTCAAATCTTACATTACAGGAATTTTTCTTTCATCATCAATGGCTTTTAATAGGACAAAACAGTTGAATTTTCTTTAAGTCAGTATTAGGAAATTTTAAAAGTTAGTTTCATTCTACATGTCAAATTAGCATAGAGGTTATAGGATGACTTTTATTTTTTTATTTTATTTTTTTTTTCGCTTTTTATTTCTAGAAGAAAGCCATGTAAATCAAACAGACCACTACATATTTAAAACCTTTGATACTATTTAACATTTCTCACTTCCTTTTTCTTTAATTTCACAGATTAAACCAAAATATTTCAGTAACAAAATTAGTTAGTAATAGATATTAATCTAAGAATTAAAAACTAAATTTACTATTTAAATAAACAGAAGTCATGGCACCTGCATCAAGGATACATATTTTGATGTACAATTTTAAATTGAATAGATACCAACTTCCCAATTTTTTTCAGATTCTTAAGCATTTTCTCCATTAATATAGAGTAACTAAATCTTATTTTAGATTTACCTTGCTTACAGAGAAGCAATAAGCAAATGAAATAATCATATAGTTTGTTAGTGGATAAATATCAACTATAAATTACCTTTAACCAAAGTTTTATCCTTATATTTATTTTCATAGTAGGTTTATGGGGCTGAAATTATGATCAAAATGCATAAGATAATTAATTGACATGTGTGAATATATGATATAAGATTTTTTTTTTATACAAGTTCATTTTTCACAAATCATATTAACCAACTGATATTGCTAAAAGATTTACTTATATTTATATGAGTAATATAATGAGTTTCAACTTATCATACCTATCCTTATTCAAAATATTGGTAACTTCTTTGTGGTGGCGTGACAGGATTTATACAAACAAAGTGCAACATAATTTTTAAATAAATCCAAAATATATAGGCCATTGAAACATATTTGATTAACACAGTATATACCTGTATAAATTATTTTATTATTTTACATATGTTAATATGGGTTCTTTGACATTCTGTAGCCTCCATCAGCCTTTCATTCATTTTATTTCTTCCCAGATACCTTTTTTTAAATATTGACTTGCATTTTTATATGTCTCTTTTTAATAATGGACCATAAGTTTTCTATTGGATTAATATTTGGAGAGACTGAAGGGTAATTTCATTAACTTGGTGTTTATGAAACTTTTCTTTGGCAAGATAGGCACAGTGTGAAGCAGTATTGTCTCACATATAGGTACCTGCACTGATTTTCTAAGAAATTTGTATACCATGATGAAAAATGCACCAAACTTAATAAAAACAAAGTTTTATCATCAAAATCTTTAAGAGGAAAGACCGGAGGATTTTTTGTTTATTAAATTATATATTTCATCCTTTTTAGAATATTCAGAATTTTGTTTAAATTTTTCTTTTTGCATCAGCATGGTTGCCAAAGATTAGTATATGAAATTTTAGTGTCTTTTTGCAATGAAAAACACATTGACTTTCTTTCAAAAATCAATGAATTGTTGGATTTTAATGAAATTTTCAGAACTTATTCACTAATAAATTAAATCATTTTAGAAATGTTTTGTTTTTTTAGAAAATCCTGGTAAAAAATATATATATATTAGTTACACCTGTTACCACACACATATTTAATTTTATAAAATTTCAAGAAAATAAATTTTGTGCCATTAATGTTTATGTTATTTAGTGGAAGAACTCCTTGGAGGATTTAAATCATTAATTTTTTTTGTAAAACAGGAACACCAGTTAGAAAAAGTTTGCTCTGAATTGTAAAATAAAAATGCAATTAAACTAACATTATTTAATTAGAAAACCTTTAATTGCTTTTATGAATAAGATATTTTATGGACATTATTGAAAAAAAAATTTCAATGAATAATGAATTTTTACAAGAATTATTTTCATTTTTTTTTAATTTTAATTAAAATAATTCATAAACTTTTAAATCTGTTAAATTTCTGCATTACATTGTTCTAGTTAGGTGATATTGTTATTAAGTAAAAACTATATTTACTAATCATAAATGGAAAAGCTTAGTACAATTCATCAAACATCAATATTTTAAAATAGCATTGTGAAATTTTTTGTGTAAAAACATGCCAATTTTTGTAAATACAAATATCCATACACAACATTATCAGAAAGTAAGAATGACAACTATAGTAAATTTAAAGCCAAAGTACCTACAATTCAATATAACATTAGAATATTTTCTTAAATTTTTAAGATTACTGAGTAGTTAAAAATTATATAACAAAGATTCTCACATTATATTCCTTAATTAAATTTTACACATATATCGAATGTAGAAAAAATTAGATAAACTACAATCTGTCATTACCTAAAATAAACAATTACTGCCATATTAAAAATGCATTTCTGCGATATTTTAAACTTAAAATCAGTAATATTTGTTTCAAATCAGATTAAACTTTAAATCAGCTAATATTCTATAAATAAAGTTTCAGGAAAGCATATTTTATTTTTGAAAGATTTTTTAATAAAGAGAATTACATTACAATGACAGAAGGCTAAAAAAGCAATGTTATTGATTTCAAAACGAAAATTCCTTCCAGTCAATTTAAATTAGTTTTTAAATACAACAAAGTATTTTTACTTTTTGGAAAAATTAAATTTAATCTATTAGCTTGAAATTAAAACTAAAATAAAAGCTCCAAGAAAGATTTTTTCATTTTTAAAAATTCATTTTAAACCTTAGGTATCATGAATATGTGGAGGTACCTATATGAATATATTTAACTTAAAGCTTCTTGGTTGTGACTTGTATCACTCAAAAATGTCTTGTCCAAGAACTTACAATAATTCTCTGCATTTATCTTGATCTCATCACCTTGAAGAGGCATATTTTATTATCTACAATATTAACCCAAAACATGACCCCACTTGTCCCACTGTTGTCTTCTAAGTCATACTGGTTGACTATTTCTATCAAGGACCCAAACTCTAACCTAGCTATCAAGTCCATTCTGTGTACCTATACATTCATCATTAAAAGCTACTTTTAAAAATCAGTTTTCATGTACTTTGTTCAGCTTAGACAACAAGCATCTAATTCTGATAATTTCAACCAGTTAAGACCCATGTGCAGAAATTCTTAAGTTTTTATTCTTTATTTTATTTTGTACAGGCCTCGTCTGAGAAGTCTTCCAGAATTACCCAGTAAGGATTCTCCTCGCAGTACAAGATCCTACCCTTGGGAATCCAGTTCAGCTGGGTATTTTCACTGCTTAATTTATTTAAATGTCAGCTGAAGTAGATCTGCTATTTGTAGTCACAAGCTTTTTTTCATTTTTTCCTCTCTTTTCACTAATCTTTTTTTGTTAATTTTTTCAATTGTAAAATTTTTTTCTTCAATAATGAATTCTCTTTCAATCCAAGAGCAGATAAATTGGAGCTCTAAAGTCATAAACTAAAACAAAGAAATAATTTCATTCTACCAGATATACAAGATAACTTAATCACTACTTGATAATTCATTTTGACTGAAAGCATTGAATCCAATTTATCTAAAAGCTTGTCAGCTACTCATTTTTTAAAGACATATCTCAAAATAACTTGTATTCTCAAATTCTAAACTATTCAAATATTGATCACTTTCAATTTTGACTGTATTGACAGTGGACAACATTTAACCTGTGATTAAATGAAACATTTTTCAGTCTTTAATTATTATTTGCTAATTTAATATTTTTGTATTATTAAGTTTTGTACATTTAGGTTCCGTCTTGTATATAAAGTGATATTTTAAAATCTTTGAAACTCCAATTTATTTACTCAGCCTAAAATACAAATATTCTTTTTGACAAAATGGAAACGATTGTTAAATAATAAAACACTAACTTAGATCTTTAACACAAATTTAGTTTTTACTGATTTTATAATTAATGCATTCTCTAAATATTATGAGAATCCTTATCCTTGGATCATTAATTGAAGTCCTCTTTGGAAATGTGCTGAGAAAAGTCTACACTTTTATGCTTTTATGATTTGTTGCCTACAGTTGCAGTTTTGAGCACAATATTTTAATCCAGATCTCAGAGGATCAGGAAAATAGCAACACCTCTGTCTCTTAAGAAAACATCAACTGTATCTCCTAACCCCCTTTCATCTCCCATACATTTTCAGAGGGTTGTATACATCCGGAAAAGATTCCCCTATGTCTACAAAGAGTGATAAACTCAAGTTCCAAGTTCAGAGGAGGGCCATTTCTGGCAGTGACAGTGAATCAAGCTACAAAAGAAGGTAACCATATAAACGAAAAAAAATTTTTAAAAGAGGGATTTTCTACATCTATTCAGATCAAAGCTCAAAATTTAATCCTGAAGAAAACATTAAATAAAATTCAAGATGATTTTAGTGAAATTTGAATTTGAGAGAAATTAGATTCACAAAGTTTTTTCTATTCATGGTAGTAAGTACATTTTTCCTAAATACCCAATTAACATAAAAGTCTTATAATTGTAATTTGTTTTGTTTCCATTTTATCCTGAAGTAATCCAATGTAACTAACAAATTCCTTTTGCAAATAATAATCTAACCTAATATGCTAACATATTAAACTGCTGCATGTTAATATACTTTATTCAATTTATTTGAATTACTGTTCACATAGCGATTATTATAGGTGTCATTATAGGTGTCATTATAGACACAACATTTCAGCCAACTACCCTCTGGCTATCCAAAAATGTTCATTATTTTGGCTGGCATAGGATATCTTATGCATGTTGATCATTGTTATTTTGTCCCTGTAATGCTGTTCCTTGTATATTAATTCATTACTTGATCCAGGGATTGAACTCATAATCACTAGATGACAGTAACCCCTGAATAACTAATGTTGCATGTTAGTTTTAATTTAGATAAAAGCAGAACATTTTTTCCAGTATATTTGTTTATGAATCCCGTTATAATAAATAGCATCTGTCAATATCTCTTAAATATTACTTCTCAGATATGTAATAAAAATAAAAATAATGAAAACATACCAATATATAATGAATATTATAAATTACATGCATTATAATATACAAAAATTAATTTTTAAATAAATCAATTGTTTGTTTTGTGAAGATTAACAAACATTTGAATGTTCTGTGCCAGAAAAGCTACTGTAGTGAATAGTACAACAATTTGTATTGGATAAAGTTACTAATGGTTACCAGTTTGTAGTGAGAGAAGTTTTGACTTGTTGTTGATGAGGATGATGACTTTCAAAAGAAACAAATTCAGTACATAGGAGGAATTTTATATATATATATATATATATTTTTATAGAATTAATAGATTTTATTTTTTAATTCTACATATTTTTATCACTTTAAATGTTATTTTTAGTGGATATGTGTATTTGAGTAGATATTTCATTTTTATTTTAAACATTTTATTTTTTCCTGCTGAACTGTACATTTGAGAAAACTTATTAAAGAAGCACAGTGGAGTAATGGATAGTGGCACGGATTGAGGGATCAGAAAGTCAAGTTCGAATTCCAGTTGAATCCATTACATTCACTTACATGCTAATACCCTTGGGAAAGGTATGAATCCTCTTCTTCTCCCTCCAGTTATGGGTAAATAGCAGGACAGACCAGGTTCTATAGCCTTGGATGGCAACTGGTCTACTGCAGAAAGAAATGGAAATCTACTGCAGGAAAAAATCTGCCTCGTCAGTCATGTATCTTTCGATACATGATCGTCTAAGCGTGTATCACAATTGACTATTAAAGAAAATGCACCCTCTGGCAGGATTCGAACCTGCATCCCTCTTTTCAAGAGAAACTGCCATTTAATCTGACATGCTTTAACGACGTGGCTATGAAGACCTTCACAATCAATCAAGGTTCTATTTGCCTTTAAAGCAAAACTTATTCAGATTTTCTCAAAAGTCTCAGTTTCATATCGAAAATGTTTGTGTCCATTCTTTTTATAGTCCTGAATAGAATGACACTGAGAGGGCATCCTAGCAGACAAGGCAAAATAATCACCCTGATATTACAAAGTTTAATTTGTTAATTTTGTTGGACAGAATGAAAAGAGATCAAGTTTAATTTATAAATTTAAGCCCAGTATTTTGGCTCTTTTTCCAAAGAACCATATTTTTCATAAAATCAATTCAATTAAAATCTGTAAACTCAAAAATAACCTTTCTTTACATCTTTGATGTTATCCATTAATAAGAAAATGATTTGAAATGAAAAAAATCTCCATGAAAAAATCTGGAAAAGTTTCATATAAAAAATAAAAACAGTACTGTAAATATAATTTTTAACTTCTAAAACTACACTATGAAGATGTGACATAATTATGTTGATTTTTGTTAAGCCTCTTTCATGAGTAAATTGAAAGTGTCTAGTTTTTATTACACATATATTCTGGTTTAGGTTCCCCATCGAATAGATGTAAACATAGAAAAATTTAAATTCATGTACTGTGTTGTCACTGAATTTAACCTTTGCATATTTATGCTAATAGGATTAATGCCAGCTAAATCCAGATTCTGGTTCTATGCTAAAGATAAAAATCAAAGCAAGCAGTCATCTGACTAAATGTTTGGTTAATCTTTCATATTATTATAAGAGGGTGCTGAAAGAAGCCCTTCAAAAAAGTTTTGATGATTGGTCAGATTTTGAAAAGTGGGTTAGAGTGATAACTTTTTAGCATCCCCTCCCCAGAATACCATTAAATACAAATTACAATCAAACATCAAAGGCCATTGGTTATTCAAACAAGGAAGTAACAAAGTAATTTAGATGTGAATCCCTTTTCCAGAAATATTTGAAATACTGATTTATTGTAATATATATCACAGTCAGTTCATAAAAAGCTGTTGTTCAGATGTGAAATTAGATTTATATCACACTTATAATATCCTCAAAATTATCTCCTTTTATTTCCACCTACTTTACAATTTAAAGGATCACTTGTTATTTACTATAATGAAGATGAAATTGTTTACTTGAAGATACACACACATTTATGCCATATAGAAATGCTATGCAATTAATAAGTGTTTTAAAAATTTTAATGAAACCAGAAGATTACTTTATTATGGTGGTATTTTTGCTTAGATAAGAAGGCAATTAGTAGTACTTATTAAAATAAATCCAGCATGCAATTCTAGCTGTCTTTGGACATAAGGCTAACATCAGAACAACCAGAATATCATAAATAAAACATTTTTAATGATTTGTACATCAAGTCTCTTTTGCATTTCTTTATATATCAGTATTTCACACAATAAATTATTTTGATGAAAATACTATTATATTGTAAATTCTTTTTATTGTCTATTAAAATATTTCATGTTATTAATAGAGCAATTTGTCATTTCTCTTTTTGCTTTTTCTTATTCTATTTAATCTCTGCATAATCATCTGCTTTTGGTTTATCTTCTGCTTCATTCATTGTATAACATTTCTTTTCTGTCAACTATATAATTTTATTTTCTGTCATGTATAATTATTCAAAACTCAATATTCAATGTTTCTTTTAATAAATCTCTTATTTATACTGTTATGGCATGGATAAAGTAATAGCATAATTTTATGAATAATACATTGTAATTATTATTTTGAATAACAAACTTTGCATGGATTTAATCATATCCATAAATTATTCCATTTTAAATTATTTCATTTTGGTTGCAGGTACACCACAAATAAACGAGGGTCTGATAATGAAAGTGAGCAGTCTGTTTCCAGAAGACGAAGGTAAGTAATTAATATAAACATCCACCTTTATAGATCTGTTAAAATTTCTAGGTTGAGTCTCTTTCAATTTTGTTCTGGCATTGGTTTTATCAATGGTTTATATCTGAAGAAACTACTGTATTACACATATGAACAAAAAAAACCCATCTAAGTTCAATTTTTATTTCAGATTAACACATTGTAGTCAATGAGTACTTTAAAGTAGTATTTTTGTTCCTAGTTTCTTTTCAACTCTCTTTCCAAATTAGAGACATGTTATAATAGATCATTTCATACAAAATAAAATCAGCAATTTTTAACATCAACTTGAGATTTTTCTTATTAAAAAGTTGAATAATTTTAACACTTTCAACATTATAGATAGAAAATAGTGAATTTTTTATATTGTTTTTTTCAAAACTTAGCATGAGCAAAACAAATACACGGATTTGGATGAAAAAAGAACCCAGAATGACATTGAAATCTGCAAAAACTTTTCATCCTTTTCAGTCAATTAGTTTAGTTTAATTTATAATGCATATAAATGTAGGTAGAAAAAAAACATATGTTTGAAAGATGGTGATGGTCACAAAGTACTGTCGGGGGGGGGATCTCCTAATCATGCTTGGGGGGCCCCCTGTTCCAGGGTAGTACACATTGGCCCTGAGTACATATTTGTTAAACCAGATTATTGTCAATGCATATGTTGGCAATCAGTATGTAAAATACAGAGTTAAAACTTGGCCAGTTATTTGACTTACATCTGCTGAGTGAAAAAAAAAACATGAGTCCCTAAAAAATAATTCACAACAGCCATATAACTCCTTTCCAAAATAATATTTTTGTTCAATGACCATTAAAAAAAATTGGCAGCAAGGCATTTAATAGATCTAGACACTTTCTGCTAAAGAAAAAGCCAAGTTTAAAATCTCAGTCTATAAAATATTGTAATTAATTTTTACAACACTTTTTTATGCTTTGATTAGAAATCACCACAAATTCTAACACTGATCATAACAGAAATACACATTTTGTTTATATTTATATGTATGTTTATATTTGTACATAGTTTAATATTTATGATTGATGGTCATGTCTGTGACAAAAGAAATAAGATAAAAAGAAGTAAACGAAATGACAAGAAGACCAACTAAGTTTTATAGTAAACAAAAAAGATTTTATAATTTTAATGATTTGGTCAGTGGCTAAAAAACAAGGCTTATCGGCAAGAAGTTAGAAATATTTCAAAATAACTTCAGTCAAGTTGCTGGGATTTTGTGGTATAGTTTACATGTCAGGTCAGCAAAGGGTAGTAAACAGACTGCACCGAAGCAGATTTCTACAACTGAATTCACCAGCCAACTTGCTTAATCTTGGCACTAACCAATGAATACAAATGCCCCGATAAAAGATTTCCATTTGTAAGGTCATTCAACCACTGCAAAGAATCCCCTGAAGTCCTTTATCTAAATGATCCAGAACTCAGAGAAGTTTCCTTCATAAAACTAGATTCTCTTAACAATGGTAGAAAATATTAATTATCTTGTTTATTTTATATACAGCTAATGAATAGGATAAATTTATTGAAACAAAACAAGTTCAGTTGACCACTGATGACAATTTCAGAACAACGTAACTATAAACAATTTTTTTCTAACCTCTGCCAGCTGCAATGATGGAGAAAGCATTACCTCGAACCAAGGCCAGTAAGACATGCTGCAAAAGCCACTCCGTTTCGCGAGGCTCGTCCCTTCATCGAGATCTTAATGAAATTTCCTAATTGAAAAATAACTGCCCTGACTTTTGTTATAATTTAATGTAATTTTCATTGCTGTTTTCTCTACATTTATAGGAAAGAAATCACAAGCAACAGTGATTCTGATGTATCATGTCGTCGACCACCACTCTACCCATCTCGAGGGGGACTTAGCTCAGGTGACAATTCACGGCCAAGTACTTTAAGAGAAGAGTAAGTCATTGGTTAAAATTTTTGTTATCAGTTTTTCTTTTTATTAATTCAAATTTATTCAAGAGTAATCTGATATTATTATGTTCATTCTAATAAACTATTTCAGAGAGTGTTTATGTGTGTACACACTTGCTTTGATATTCATCTTCTTATCAATCTTTGAAGATTTTGAAAGATGTTTTGTCAATATCTGCATTATTACAAGTAAAGCTTAAAAATGGTGTTTGTTACATCTAGGTGATGTGAAATCACAAATATTTGCATCATTATAAATATGTATATTTTAATGTTGCTCTTTAATAAAAAATGAAGGTTACATTATTTTTAATGTATATCTTTATCATTAAAAAATATATAGATAAAAATATCATTATATTATATATATTACTAGCAGTAGAGCCCGGCATTAAAAACTGTAAAAAAAATACTCCAAAAATACTTTGATCTTTCCTCTTTAATAATATTATGAACATTAGACGATAAAATTTTGTTTTCGTCAAGTTCGGCGTCTTTTTTATCATGCTATGCTCTTTTGTTTACATTTTCGTGGGTGAGTTGTCCCCCTTTCATTCTCACGATGTGTCTTAATCATGTTTTCAAATTGATTTTCTTAAAAAACAACTGTGTTTTTCCCATTTAATTTTATGTAGTCCTGTGAAGTTTTGTTGAAATCGGCTAAAAATGTAGGAAATTCAATCCAACATATAAACGTTACAGACACACACACACACACACACAACCTGCATTTTATAATAAGTAAGATATAAATATTTAGATAAAAAATATCATTATATTACTTTACAGTGCTGTATCTCCTATTCATTCCACTGCCCCTGGTGCTGAGGGGGTACAAAAACGTAGGAGGAGGTAAGTTTATCCATTCTTATTATTTAGTGCAGTATGGCCATAACAGAAACAGAATTTGGATGCTATTCAAAGGCATTTTTATGAAATAATGTTGCTTTTTGTCAATTTGAGACTTCATTAGTTATAAAAATACCAACTGAATTCATGTCTATTATTAATTAAAAAATCTTTATCTGAAGTGATTGATTGCAATAGAATGTGACATTATAAGGCTTAACTAGTGAATAAGTGAATAGATTTTACATGTTTTTGGCTGCTCCGTAAATTAGTACCGTGTAAAAGTTGTCATATACCATTTTTTTAAAACTCTCATCTAAAATTAAATGTTACTTTTTTTAAGTGTGACTCAGAATGTATCAGACGTATTAGAATACAACAGTTGTTTGGTATGTTTCTGTAAAGTATAAAATGTTGTATGGCTGAATCAGAAAAAGATGGTAAGAATTAAGAGAAATAAAAGCATTACTTTGTGAAATCCTTATGTGTGGAATTGGTCTTTAGGCAATTGTTGAGAAATTGAAATCAAATTTAAGAAACCATAATTTTACTTCAACTTCTTCTTCATCATCATCATCAATCCTATGAGTGGGTGTGGCTATTGGATTGCTTGACCACTGAGCACCTTACCAGCTCAATCCACTTGCCTCAGTTGCATACCAATGTCTGAATCTTTGCAAAGGACTTCAACTTCAGTATTGTTAATGTCACACATTCTAAATAAACAGAAAAAATCCAGTAATTTTGATGGGAATATCACAAGGTTCCATCAGTTGTGATTAAATTTCACATTCATCTAAACTCTACATTTTTACTGTAATTGCATCATATAAATTGCAAATGCATAAAATGTCTATTTTGAATCAAAGATCAACACAGTGACTACAACATATTGCTCAATAAAGTACTGCAATTTGTCTACTTAACATTTTTTCAATTTTCTATTTTCAAACAATCTCAAGACGTAGAAGTAAATCTCCCAACAAAGGTCCACCAGAAGAATTAAAGAACCATTTTGTGTAAGTCATTTGAAATTTATACTAATACATTCTGTTATCTATTTGAATATACAATGTGCAGTTTAACATTTCTATAAAATGATATTGAATTTTATATCAACAACAGTTAAGTATTAGAGATCAGCCAATGCTATGAACTTTAGCTGAAAATAATTCTATACAGTAAACAATTATATTTCCAGATCTTCAGTTTGTATTTGATTCTGTATACTATGGCATTTTTTATCATGCAAGTCAATGTTTTTTTCATTAAAATTTGTATTAAGCAATTGATATTTGTAAATTTCCCAGTATATATCAATATGATAAATATACCATTTTAGCTTTTGATATCTGTTTTTATTAGAAATATATACAATAAATTATTTGGTAGAGTGAGATTTTATTATGCAACATTAGAGTAATTCAACCTTTTGTAAATAAATATAATATATAGTTATTGAGATTTACATTTTAATTTCAGATATATAAAGATTGCATAAGAAATATATAATCTCAAAAGAGAAATAAAATATTTGTAGTTATTAAATGATAGGAAAACAATATTGAAAATTGCAAAAACATTGAACAGTAATCCCAAAACAATAAAAAAAATGAAATTATGTAAAAATTGGTAGAAAAACGAAAAACAAAATGGCTTTAAGAATGTCACAAAAAGAGAAATGAGAAAAATGGAAAAGTAATGAGCAAACAAAGTGGATTGACTAGTAAAAAATATTTGGAGAAACTGATGTTGCAAATGTAAATAGAGAGAAAAAATGCAAATTATTAAGAACATTAGCTAAAGACATGAAAGTAACAAAACTACCACCTTTAAACTACCATCAAAAAGAAAAATATGTTTGTTGAATGAAGAAGTACAGGAAAACTGTTTTCTCAAAAGTAATTTTTAGTGACAAATGTAGAAGTACATAGGATAGGACTGCTGGCTGGGCTAGACGCTGTGACCTTTACAGAAATAATCAACCAACAGTGAAGACAAAAATGGGGATGTGAAGTAATGTTTTGTCAATTGTAGGCAATAAGATCTAGGTACCTTCAAAGTGAATGATGGTTCAAAATAAATATCAGGAATTATAAGTTCTTGGGCGAATCACTTTTAGTAGTACATGTCACAACCAAGAAGCTTTAAGCTAAAAAGTATATTTGTATAAGACATTGTTCCTTCATATTCTTCAAAGCTGGTTACAAAGACATAAGATTAACAGAAAGACATCTAGCCTCTCCAGATATTAATCCCACAGAATAATCATAATTCATCATTAAAAGAAATGTATAGAAAACAATATTGAAGCAATAAAAAAGAGCATAATGTTAAAATCAAAATATTAGAAAAATAGCAAAAGTAAATAAACAAAAAACTGATGAAGGTTATAAAATATCAAAGTCCATATCAACACATAAAAAATAATAATCTATTCAGGTATATGTGATATTGTTTTAATCAAATACATTTTATGGCCTGTATCTTTTGGATTTATTTATAAATAAAACTTTATGTAGAACCTTGTTTCCATACTAAAAGCTGACACACCCAAAACAAGTTATTATCAATATTTTTAACAAGGATAGATATTAAACACTGAAAGTGACATGATGTATTGTTCATATAAACAAGTCTATACCCTGATAGTTTTAGCTACGTCAGTTGATAACGGTTTTATTGTAAAATCATAAACTTGCATAATTAAATATAATAATAAACTAGTAATAAACTTTTCCTCATAATATTATAGAATACATCAGTAAATTTACTTTTATGTAGCAACTTAATATATTTCTAATATCATGTACATTTATATGCATTGACTAACCAAATTACTTCTGCCTTGCTGTGTGTCACATATTTTTTTGTAAGAAAATGATAATTGTTTTTAAATCGTTTTTATAATTTGTGGAGAAAAATGATGCATTTCAATATTATTCAATGATCTTGCCAATGTGACCTCCATCTTCTGGATTTCTCCTTCTATATTTTGGATAGGAGTCATTCCCTTGTTCAAATTTAAATTTAAATCAAAAGGAAAAAGAATTTCAGTGATTGAGGGGTGGTGCAAAAACAGCTTGATCTGACCCCTTTGATATGTATTTGATGCAATACTTGATTGAATGAATTGATGAGCAGATTTCAACATTGTTATGACAGTTGAATTGTTGCATCAAATATGTATTGTAAGGCACTATCCACTGATTAGTGATTTCTTGCATCCATATTGTCTCATTTTCCTCCTACCAATGTGAACTCTATTTTCTGACTTTCTTCTATATCTTCTAGCTATAAAAGGCAGTATTTGTGTGTGTGTGTGTGTGTGTGTGTGTGTGTGTGTGTGTGTGTGTAATGAATGCACAGACACAATTTTTGACAGATTTGCACCAAAATTTACATGCACATGCTTCAAGTTAGTGGGAAGTCCAAGACCGACTTTGCATTTTCCAACTCCCATCGATAATGGAAATAATCAATTTTTTCATGCTTCTATGGCAGTTTTCATGTAGTTTGTGGCCATTTTGTACTGGCCAGGGTGAGAGACAATAGCTGGCTGCCACGAATGTTAACTAGCATGCTAGCATGCAAAAAAAAAAAAAGAAAATCGATAGCTGCATTCATTACAAGTGGGAAAAATTTAAATCTGCATGGCACTTTACTCCAATTGGCTCATTCGCTTGCTTAAACTCAACATTGATTCTGATTCCGCAGAACTGGGTTGGGTGTGAAAAAGTATTTGTTATTAACATTCTTTTTTCATTCGGTTTTTCCAGTTACGAGTCCTTTTTTAAAGCTGATCATTTTGTGTTCATTTTGTCTAGTTCTTTTATCGTAACAGATTTAATGTTTAGTATAGAGCTTAGAAAAAATTTGCAGTGTGAGATAGGCAAGAAGTAAGGCATGTAGCAACATCAGCACAGCAAAGGGCACTCCTTTAAAGGCAAGGAAGGGCAAAAATATTTTAAGTCAACTGATAGCAATTGCTGTATGAGTCATACAATTTTTGAATCAAGCACGGGCAACGCCGGGCCATGCTGCTAATTTTAGATAGGAGTTATTCTCTTGTTCAAATTTAAATTTAATTTAAATCAAAAGGAAAAAATTTTCAGGGTGGGGGCACAGGGACCTCTTTGGTCAACATGAAATATAATTATCCAAGTACCCTGAGTAATGTAGTTTCAGAATATATGTGGTTGGTGGGGGTCTATCTCCAAAACCCCAAGAAGAGTTTGATAACAAACAAACAGAGGCTACAACTTATATATATATATATATATATATATATATATAGAGAGAGAGAGAAAGATTACTGAACTATCTTCTGTTCCAATAAAAAGTAGGATTAGATTAATTAACAAATGGAATTTTCTTTCTCTGTTCCTTTCACATTTCTGATACTTTTGTCTATCAACAAACTCTGATTAGAAAGATATGTATTGTGACAGTGCTGATATTTACTGATTATCAGATAGGAGATGAATGTGAACTAAACAAGAATAGGTATTAATTTAAAACAATTAATTTAGAGAATTTGAAACTTCTGACTGTATTTTGGATGCTAGTGCAGTTGGAACTAACCAAGAAGGTTTCACAATTTTTTTAAGCTTTTTAACAATGATCATTTAATTTTATTTCTTTATGAAAAATTGAGGAGGCTGTTCATTTTGTATGTTTTTTTCCATAGATACAATCTGGTTGAAACAGATGACTGGTCTGAAGATCAGCTGAAGGAAATCCCTTATACAAAAGTTGAGTAAGTATTTATTTGATATTCATTTTTATTAAAAAATGATTTATATATGTATTTTAGTAAAATATACTTAATTTTTAGTTTGAATAGTTCTCAAACTGTTTAGTCTTATAACATCTCTATAAAACTTCTTGCAAATATGATCTTTTGTACTCTCTTTATTAATATTAAGTTATTGATATTGTTAAAAAAGTAACAAATTACATAAAATTCTTTAGAGCAACCAAATCCACAGAAAACATTTATTTTTACAATGATCCCAATATTTTAAAATTGTGCATATTTTATTTTTTCATTATTTGATTTAACAAGTCAATATTTACATTTGAAAATGTATTTCATTTTTGTTTTGTAATTGAATTCACAAGACAGTAAAATGTTTCCCAAATTGTTTTTTTAAAATGTATTTTAAAAAAAAACAAAAAATAAGCAATATTAACTTTTAAAAATATACTGGGATTTTTTATTTTTTTAGAACAAAATGTCAGCCATATCGAATCAAACATTCTCCAAAATCCAAGCATTACAGTAAGACTCGTGGCCGCAGTGGAGGGTAAGAAATCCTACATCTATAAAATTATTCATATATTCTTTTAGAGTAGGATGGAAAGTAAAAAAGTTCATTTTTCTTTAAGAATAATTTAGAAAATTCACTTTTAAATTAGAATACTGAAACTATTTCATGTGTGCTGAAATATTTGAAATTATATGCAAATTCTTTGACAAGAATTTGAACAATTATTCTCTGAGTCATTCTTTTTACTTTTTTGATTTCCTTTAATCAAAAAGAAATCTTTCACAGTTTTTAAAATGACTCTCCCTTTTAATCATCAGTTTGTATAATTATGAAATACAACATATTGAAGATTTTCTTTAGGTCTGACTGAATGCTATCTTGAAGTTTTACAATTAATTTTTAATCATTATTAAAATCTTTTATTCATTATGAAGAAATATTCAATGAAGTTAACACCATTTTATACATAATTGGTATAGATGATTAGAGATCCAACTATTGTGCATTATTTTATTTTAAAAAATGATTGTACAACACTAACAGGCTCTTGCAAAACTTACTGTGCTTCTCAAAGTCACATGTCAAAAATACATACATTGTATAACAGTTATTATATTTTGATTATATTAACTATAAAAATGTATTTAAAAATATTTAAACCATTGTACTCAATAATACAAAATTCCCAAATTTTGATATTGTCTTTTAATTTTATCAAACATAATCTGAAATAATTTATTGACTAACATACAAAGAAGCTAAAATAGTAGTTATTTAAATTTTCATTATTTATTTCTATAAAATGAACTACTTTAAAGTACTCATTGACTACAATGTGTTAATCTGAAATAAAAATTGAACTTAGATGTTTTTCTCATTAAAAATATTTATTTTATAAAACTTGCTTTAAAACCTTAACAAAATAAAATTCAATTTATTTTCAGCTTTCCTTACAAATAACCCCTAAAGAAATTCAATTTTTGCTTGGAAAATTGTCTAATGAATATGATTTTTGTTTTACCACATGAAGCATCTGTTTTTAAAAGTAACTAGCATACTAATTTTCTGTTCTATATGATTACTATTATTTGGTCAAATCACATTAAAAGTGGCTAGATATTTATTTAGTGATTTGTTAATAAAAATTATCAAATTCATATGACTTATATTTTCTGGCAATCTATAACATAATTTGAATCTGTTATCATGGCTCTAAAAGTAAAATTTATAATGAAAAAATTAACAAGAAGTGATAATTTAAGTCAAATTTGTCCTTTTAGTAATTAGGCCATAAAATTAGTGGGAATATACTGAGAAAATCTCTCTATATAATACACAAGTCTATATGTTTTTGTTTGCAGTATCTATAATTTTTTACTCTACTAGTTATTTCCATTGTACTGGCGACGCCAGATGGCAGTGTCTTTGTTGTAACAAGAGTAAGCTGTTTCAACATGTTTACAAAGTTGAGAATTAAAAAGTCCACAAAAGAGCAAAATGCAACAATAATAATTGAAAAAATATATTTATAGACATGATATAATGAGGAACAAATAAGAAACATTTATAAATTTAACAGATTTTGTTGTTATTTAAGCTTCATCAGAAATGTTTGGAAATTAGTTGTGAAAGAGAATGTTTCAGTACATTGGTGTTGTGTGTTGTTTGTTTTTCATTGGTCAAATCTCATGTGTTTATATCTTGTGGCATTTGTGTGTGTGTGTGTGACTAGAGACATAGATTTGAAAATATTTTAATAACAGTAAGGAGTTAACAAAATATGCCATCATTTTTTTATGGCATAGATAAACTAGTGAGTTAAATAAAAGTGGTTCCAGTAGGAATGTGTTATAGACAAGTAATCTTCTAGATTGAATGACACATTTAGTCTATTGAAACAGTCTTGATAAAGTCAGTTTTAAAAAAATAACATTGTGCATGAATATTGCTTCTGCTGCTTTTCTAATGCCTGGATCTTGTACAACTTTGCATGTTTAAAGTTGCTTGCATCAGTTTAAATGAGCTTGAAATATGAAGCATGCTTTACACTGCAACAAATCCATTTCCCTATTATTGATGTAAAGTCTATACCAGCATGAGGACCATATTATGATTCCAAATAATCTTGTTCGAAATTGAATTATTTGTTCTGTCTTGAATTGTCAGTAATTTTTTTTTTGGCTTACTTACTTGATATATGCTAAAGTTTACACTTAACTAAATCCTGAAAGCATCTTGTTTTTCCAAATTCTGCCACTATTGCTTATTGAAAGCTATTTATAAAGAGGTAAGAATCAAGACGGTTCATGATTTCTCTCCTCTAATCAGAAGTAGCAACCTTATTACTTCCTACATCATTTGTGTACCCTGCCTGCCCTAAACCATACATTCTTACCCAAGAAACTGCTTGGCAAAGGAAGCTGTCAGTTAAAATGCATGCATCCCATTGTTGTTTCATTTTAAGAAGTGCATGTGGACACTGCAGCCTTTTCCATATCTGGCCATGTGTATGTATTTTAGCAAGAAAAGCAACAACCCTAGAAATGCCCAGGTACCTGAGGAAGGGGAGGAGGAGGAAGAAGAGGAGGAGGAGGAAGAAGAAGAAGAGGAACCCCCAGCACAATCCCCACCCCCTCCTTACAGCAGTGTTGCAAAGGACACTTCCCCACCACCACCTTACAGTCCACCCAGGGAACAGGCAAACACTGGCAAAGATGCAAAAAGTGGCAGGACACTGAGTAATTATAGGTGAGGCCCAACCCATCAACATTTCCAATATTGTCCTTTTACTCTTTAATTGTGAATCCAAAAACTTATCGATTAAACCAGTATATCTCAAACCATTTGTTATTGTAATTTTATAAATTCCTGTAATATGAGGTTTTAAAATATTGTAATTATTATTTTTTATTTTTTATTTGTAATTTTCTATTCAAGGAGAGATCCTTTCAGAAGTAGACCAAATTTAAGGTGAAAGTGTAAACACTTATTTGGTAAAATTTTCCCCCTCTTCAAAAATAGAATCATAAATTTTGTAGATTGCCAAATTTTTATCATTCTGCCATTTTGCGATGCCCATAAAATGTAAGTTTTCTATTTCCAGAGAATATTTCAAATGATAAACATCCCTGTTGATTCAATTACTATCAGCTTTATTTACTGATAAACAAGGACAAATATTTCTATTTGAAACATTGTAGAAATTTGGGAGTGAAGTGTTTGCAGTTTTAGACATTACTTTTGTGAAAATCTCTGTTTGTACAAAATCTAATCTATATATGAAAAATATATCACTCCAAGCATTTATTTACAGTAGGTTCTATAAAATTTCTAAAGTATTACATATCATTTAACTTAATATTCTATCTAAAAATCTATCTCAAATGTCCTTTTTTAGAATCAGTTTCATTTACTTGAAAGACTCACTTAAAGGCCATCAAAGGCAACCATTCAAATTAAAGTCAAGTCACTTCTGATTTATAGAATTTATATTTTAGAATTATTTGCCAAAAAAAATAAAATAAAATAAAAAAAATAAGGGGAAATTACTCTAAATTCCAAATAAGAAGACTTACTCTAAGCTACAACTACATTTAAAATTTAAAGTGAACTTTATTTGTACTTCTACTAATCCGTAATCAACAGAACCCTAGTGTTAAATGATATTTGAACAGAGATGCTTACAATTTAGAAAAATTGATTCTTGTATAGAAATACTTATAATCGAAGAGCAAAAGAAATGAAAGAAATTCATTTTTACATCAAATATTTGAAAAATAATCGCTCTTCAATATTATGAAAAATATGTAATAAAAATATTTTTTTACAAAATCCAGGTTTCATTATTTCATGGAGAAATTAAACATTTTTTCTTTTTCTCTTCCAATCTCTTGATATGATTTTCTTTTCAGATTTCAAATTACAAATTATACATTATAATTGTATTATTCTTATCCATTTTGGTTGAGTTATGGAGACTAATTTGAAAAAATTAGTGCCCTTTAGATTGAAAAGATCAATAAAAAGAATGAATAAACAAAATACCTTCATGTTAAATATGCAGTAAATACCAATCAAACAAAAGTTATTGATTGTTTGTAAATAAATTGGAAAAAATCAAACCATCAAAACAATTCATATTATACTATTGATAAAAAGTAGATTTAAAATTTACTATAATAATATAAAAATGTGAAATGTGAGGTGATAACTTAATAGTACTTCACATTACGTATATTTTTTTTATATTATTACAGTAAATTTTAAATCTACTTTTTATAAATAGTATAATATAATTTGGTATCAACATAATATTTAATTAATATAATTTGGTATCAGCATGACAAGTAACAAATTTTCAACCAACAAACTCTTTGCGAATTACTACTTAATAAACTTTCTGAGCAATACAAATAAAGTAAACATTTTTCATAGATAGAGATATTCATCATTTAGAAGGTAAAAATTATAAGATTCAGTTCGAAAAATGAGAAAAATTATCTTTTTCTTTAAAACCATTATTACTATACATGTTTCCATTTTGATTTTATTTTGTGTCTATATTGATTGTATTTGATTTCCTTGTAGTCTTATTGAAGAACTTTTATTTTAGATGCTGAAACGATTTCTTCTCCCAGGAAGTTCAGAACAAAAGTAACAGTTTTAAAAAAAGTATAAATGTTATTATTTTAAAACAACTGAATCAACAACTTTCTTCACATTATTCTGCACTTATTTCAGTTAATAACTTCATTGCTTCTTACCACCTTTCAAAAGTTAGAGAGAATTTCATGAAAACCTTTTTTTCTTTCTTTTTTCTTTTTTTTTTACACACACTATATTTAATACAGATATATATTCTTGGAAATTGCTTAAAGAGGGCCACTAGTTTAAACATTATACTATTTATGAATTTATTAATTAAGTCAATATTTTTGCAATAAAACTGGAATTCATCAAATAATATTAATGAAATTTTCAGGATATATGTTATGTCATTTATGTTTCAGTTCATAATATCTATCCTTATTAAAAATATTGATAATAACTTGTTTTGATTTTGCTATGCATTCTTTTCTTTTAATCATTTCACCCCAAGCAAGGCAATAAAGCCACTAAGGTGCAAGTAGTTACTGAGTGTGGGATAATACAAGGAAAGAAAACATTATTAAGGAGAGTGAAGATAGAAAATAATGATTGTCATTGCATTTAAATTTTTGAAGATCAAACTTGATTGGAAAACAAGAAGCCAGAAGTGAGTTCTACAAGCAAGAAGTGAAAGAGAAGAATCTGTTAGCATAGAATTTATGGTTACATCTATAGCCATTTTAACTGTAAAATGATGAGACCTTGCCGATAATCTAGTACTGCACTTAAATTCATAAAGTTTAGGTACCAAAGAGGAAATCTCATCAGAACAATTACCATGAAGATAGTTGTAGAAAAGGCACAGGAGAAACTATTTTATAGCAGTAGGAAAATGACTGAAGCCAAGATACCAGGTTAAGACCAATAACATACAAATTAAAATGATGCATGCACAAAGTTTTTCAAAACTTGTATGAAATTATATATTTTATTTATTAGAAACACATAGCATCCACATTTTTTAGCTGAAAGTAAATTATAGTGGCATGCTCTCTAGTAATATTCCATATAAATTATACACTCATTTCTATGTAGCTATAGGTTTATGTGCCTTATGAAAAATCTTTAATCTCTTTTATAGAATCTTAGTCCTTATGTTTTGGATGTTATTGCTTGCATTTCTAAGGTCTTTACTCTTATAAGTTATGGATAAGTAATTCTTATTGCTTGAATACATATTTCTTTAGAATTTCAAAAGATTATTCTTATTATCATAAAAAAATACACACAGAAAAATATTATTTACAAGAGGTTGTGATGGTAAAAAATATGAACATTTTTTTTACTAAAATACAAATTATATTAAAATTAATTTTTTTGAAATAATAGGAACCAGTGTTTTCTGCCAAATGTTGTGACCATTGTGTAAAGTTTAATACTTGAGAAATCTTGTCAAAAAAATGAAGTAACTGGTAAGATCATTTAAATATTTAAAAAAAAAAATTTTCTAGCTTCAGAAATATTTGATTTCATATTACAGATACCATGAAACAGAAGTGGTCCAACACTCATCAACTGTACGTCAAGATTCATCTACAGTAGGAAAGGTTGTGACTTTTTATCGAACATTTTTATTTCTTTCTTTTACATTTCATATTTTGTAAAATGAAAAAAAAAATCAAAATATTTAAACAAAAATTTTGTTTCTGAATCCAAAACAAATCTTGAATTTAAGGGAAGTAACTCCTGTACAAAAAGCAGTTATTTCCCATGACTTACGTAACAATCGAATTTTTATTGTATATCTAAATAGAAACTTTTTATCTATTTTGGGAATATTTAAAAATTATGAGAATATGTTTCATATAATAATTTCATTGATTAGTACTTGGAAATTACTATATTTTTTTTTTTAGATTTAAATTCTGTATGTCTTTCTCCCGTCGTAAGAGGAGGCTCTTACAAGTTATCGACCCAACTCACTTCCTAGAATCTAATCAAATGACCAAACATCAGAATTCTGTGGGAAGAAGACCTTCTTAGTCAGACCATAAAATTTTTTATCACCCCTCGTGATATTATCACCACACATGAATATTTTTATGGATACTATAATTTGTTATTCTTTTTTTATTAATTAAATGATTTCTACCAAAACTAATTTTTATCTTCTTGACAAACAAAACATTATTGTGCTATAAGAAGGGAAATTTCATTTTGTAATATATTAAAAGCTATGAATTGGAAACAAATTACTTAAGCAAAAAGACCTTTTTATTCTTAATAAACAAACAGAATAATATATGCCATGAATATAATTACACATATATAATATTTTTTTAAGATATTTTTCTCTTAAATTAATAAAACATCCCTGTCTGTAATAAGCTATTATCTGGAAAAAAATAATATAACTAAAGTACATATTATGCTGAGCTACTTTTGTTTTCATTCTTAGTTTCAATAACTTGAATTTATTTAGATGTAGTGACGATTGAAAATGAACAGATAATAAAAATTATATTATACAAATTATTTCTTATGATCTATTATGTGAATATTTTTATGAGTGAATTCTGCTACAAAAAGCTGTTTATAAAATTCATTTGATTGTTTGCATATCATTTGGGAGAAAGAAATGAATATTCCTTATTTACATCTGTTTTCTTTCTGTTCAAACATTTTTGAAAGTTAATTCTCATAAAAATTTTATTCACTTAGAAAACAAGTTTAATCTAAATCATCAATATTACATCTTTTAATGGTAAAATCATGACTAAATTTAATGCTCATCATACAAATATTAAACTCTTTTAGTAACCAGTTATTTCTTATATATTTTAAGTACCTGGATTGGTGACTGCTCAGGAATGCTAGGAGTTGTAAGCTTGGATATGCAAGTGGTGTAATGGATAATGGCTCAGAATTGGAAATCAGGGAGCTGAGTTCCAATTCCAGCTGGGTATATTAGATTCCTTTATGCACAAATACCCTTGGGGAAGCTATAAATCCATCTCTTCTTCCCTACCAGGTATGGATCAATTAGTAAGACTTGTATCAGTGAATCATTATTATCTCACAAAATTCTTACAATCTAAAAATATTTCATGGCTTTAAATAACCTACAAAAGTTGATAAGCCATAAAAAAACAAATCAATTATATATTTTAAAAGAGATAAGGTGAAGATATTTACAGAGTGCATTGAAATATATCCTTTTTTATATATATATAGAATTTTGATGTAGCTTTTTTTAGTTTTGCATAATTTTATATACTTTGCTCAATTTTTACTCAATTTTACACTTCATTGAACATAGACATGTAATAAGTGTTAAGTTGCTTCTAATTCTACCCAAAAAAAGCATCATCTAAAAAATATTTTTATTTTTATAGATACAAGGAGGTAGGGACATATGTTATGAAGGATTTTTAAATTCTTTTAGTCCAGGAGCCTCTTAAGGTTTAAGTCCAGCCCTGCATGTAGGGATCATTTTTGCAAAAGATGACAAATTCCAGACTGAAGTAATTAGTTTATTTTACTTATTCTTTCAGTCTGCCAGAGAAAGTACACCTGGAAGAGATACAGATGGGTAAGTGTGTATGTCTGATTTTCATTTAACAATTCAGATACTTTATATGAACTTTCTATGATTGTCTGAAGTGATAGCAATTTTCCTGACAAAATTTCTATGTATTAAAAGCAGGTCGTTTGTTACGTATATATTTTCATCATGATGATGGCAGTATTTTAGCAAATGATACTTTTGTTTTCTGTTGTTCAAGGAACCAGGAAGATGGTCGACCAAAATCTCAGACAGATGAAACTGGTGTCAACAGAACTTCCTATTGTTCTGAGGTTGGTATTTTATGTCATTTGGTTTTAAGCCAGATGAAAAAAATAAACAGTTTGAAATATTAAGCAACTATCTCAATACAAATTCTTATGATATTGTAATTATGAACTTTTTTCAAAACATTTTAAAATATTTGTGTGCATGCTTTTCTCATTCCTTTCTGAAAAGGAAATACAATTTTTAAGTTTTGATGTAAGACTATAACAGAAAACTAATTAGGTTTAATTTTAGGTCTTGAGATGATCACACAACATATTGTTTGGAACCTCAAAACTCACCTCTTACTACAAATGCTTACAAATTTAACACTTACACTTCTGTGGACATATTTATGTCTTTATGAAACTGACATTGCCTGCTGGTTGACATATATATACATTTTTATGGCACTAGAAATTATCATCCTTAGTGTTTGTCTTATAAACTAAATAACATTAAGTGCTATTTCTAATCCAGCATATACATAGTAGCATGCAACATGATGATCTGTTTTGTGATGTATTTTTATTGTGTTGTGGGTGTCATTTAGTTTTTATTGTGTTGTGGGTGTGTCATTTACTTTAATCTGTACTGAAGAGTATCTGATCAAAATCAAAATGGCAGCACCCATGAGAAATTACCATCAGTGTTTTTATAGTCAAGTAAATAGTAATTTTCTATTTTTTCCCTAAATGAGCCAGCACAACCAGGCAACAATTTCTATAACAATGCAGCAATGAAAGTGTTAATGTTCTCTCTTTTAACCCATACCTTATTGCTCTGTACTCATTAGCATATTTTATTTCTATTATTAGTTGTTATCCCACATCTCAAAAATTCTTATATAAATTGAATTTATAGTTTACTAAAACTAATGGTCAGTGTTTTTCATCTTTTGTTGAACTTTTGTCTAAAACCAGCTATGGTCCTCAACAGTTCAACAAATTCGGTAACTCTTAATTTATTGAACCATGTGCATTAATAATATATTAAACAGCATTTGAGATAATTTTTTTATACCCTTCTGATTGTAAATGAAACCTTTACAAAAAATATTTAAAATTATTTTATAACAATTAAATGACATAAAACAAAATTTGAATCAAGATAGCAATTTTTAAAAAGAAAATAAGTTTTTATTAGATTTTAGAAGAAACCCAGTGTAAACTAATGAAATAATGTATTTTAATTTCTGAGGATCAGCTTTTAATAAACTGATTTAAGGCTCACCAATTTGTTGAAGTTTTCATATTGCAATTACACTGTTTGCTCAATTAATCCTAATTAACTTAGAAAAGAATTCTTCTTTTTAATGGAGAATAATCAAGATGTACAGAACTATCATTCATCTTCATTTTCTTTCATTTAGTTTTCCTTCTTCCCATAAGATTTTCTATCATAATTTCATAATGGAATTTTTTTGATGATTTATCTTAAAAAGAATAGTCATTGACTATTTTTTCAAAGTAAATAATATTGTAGTGATTACTATAATAATTTTTTTAATATTTTGAACTTTAATAATTTTATAACCTTGAAAAAATATCCATAAATGGTAAAATCTACATTTTTTTTTTTTGTTTAATCTTCATTGTAACTTTTATTTGTTCTTTATGTAGAGTGGACCAACAGCTGCTGAAAGTGATACTCCTGTTCATCGTTCAAGTCGGCAAAGCTATGGCCACTCTGACAGTGATGCTGGACACACTCCAAGGCACTACAGGTCAAGTTGGCAGAGTTGTGCTGTAGCTGACAGTCCTAATGCTGGTTCCTACACTCCTGCACGTGTAGCAAGGCGAAGCTATGCTCATCATGATGACAGCGATTATGGAAGCTACACCCCTGTGCATCGATCAAGGCAAAGTCATTCCCGTGGAGAGAGGAGTGACCACAGCAGTGATTATCACACTCCTTCACACCGGTCACGTCATGGAGAAGGGCGAAGTGGCAGTTCACATTCTCATCGCTCTAGACACAGTTCACATGGTGATCGAGAATCCCATTCCTCTAGATCAAGACATAGTCGCTGTCATGATGAGAATGATCCAGGACGTTCAAAGCCAAATCGTGACCCAAATCTAACAGTTGTCTTCCATGAAGGGCAAACTAATGAAATGGCTACTGAACTTTGATTACGTAAAATATACAAAAGATAATAATAGATGTTTTGCTGTATAAAAAAAAAGTAAGATCAAAATGATATTTGGTGCTATGTGGAAAGAAAAAATATTTTAAAAAATTCTTTAAAAAATTGTCAAACCCTTTAGTACTGAATGTGACTGACATAAGTAGAAAAATGAATGCTTTTGTTGTGGCGTCACAATTTTTTGCAATAGCTGCAAAAAAAATCTAAAAGCCAAACCTAAAATGTTGCTGAGTCTTCATTGAATTTTTTTTTTTTTTTTTTTTGTCTCATGCAAATCCCACCTCTTAAATTCACTGACTACACAATCAGTGCAATGCAATAAAAAACCCAAATAAGATAGATTGATTATTATTGATTTAATATTTATGAAATTTATTGACTATATTTTATGAAAGTATTTATATTTTGTTTGGAAGGTTCTTCAAGATTCCTTCATTTGTGCAGCTCTACTGTTTAGTGAATGTCTTCGTGTTTGGCAAGGATATGCAGCCTTGCCTTCCACTCTCCTCTCATATCAGGATTTGGGCAAATGTCATGTTAGTCATTGTCAAACTTGATTCATTTCATTAGTTTGTGTAGAGTGCGTTGATGTCAGTAAAACTTACAAATTATAAATCAACAGATTTTTCTTTTCTTGTTTTTTGCTAATTTCTCCAGTTTTTAATCAGATGTGACTATTATTTTGTAACTTAATTTTTTTCAACATTATGTAAATGCAAGCTGAGGCAAGTACTGGGATGAGTAGAGAACTCCCAACCATCACCAACTGAACAAGAGAAGAACAGTCAGGCCTTAAGACTCTACCAAATATAATCCTAATATTAATGCATTTGTTACCTAGACAAGTTTGATTACAGGAAAAAAACGTAAGGCTTACTTAAATTTAGAATCTACAAAAAAGATCATCATTAACAATTGAAAGAAAACTGACATAGAAGTGGAAGAAGATCAAAGGGAACTTTTTGAACAAAGAATACAGTCAGCAAGCTACCATATAGTTACAGTTTTGCAAAATTTAATAAAAAGTTTTCCCTTCCCAATCAGTAATTGAGGTTATTTATTGAGTCATTTCTTCACCAATATAATCAAGTTACTTATACATAATTCTCAAATATTTATGAAAAACTCCACCTATTTTTGTGAAACTGATCAGGAGAAACATTCATCACAATGTCCCAACTAAGTAAGACTGGGTGTGATAAATCTATTCAATAAGTTTCTAACAGATGAGGGCGATTGATTTGTTTTTTACGGGTTCTTTAAAAAAAATAAGACATTTGGGATTGTAAGAATAATACTGTTTTTTGTGAGTAAATATTACATTAACAATTTTTTTGCAGATAATGATTATTCCAGATCAAGTATGACTATTTGACTCATAGTCGGGGGTGAAGATGGATTCATACCTTTCCCATAAATGAATGTAATGAACTTGATTGAAATTTGAATTCAGCTCTCCGATTTCTCATTCCAAGCCATTATCCATCATACTACCTGCACATTCAATAAGAGAAAAGGCTTTCTTCATAATGTGAAGCAAGTTGAGAAAAGATCCTTTTCTAGGGGAATTGACTAATATCCAAACAACCTAATGGAAATAATATTTTATGTACAAATGATGCATTTCCAATTAGAATCTTATATATCATAAATATAATAAATGAGTAAATTCATATAATTTCTACTGTGAAAATACCAGCTATACTTATGCAACAAACCTTCATCAGATGATCACTCCGGAGTTAAGAATGGTTTCAAAACCAAAGTGTCATTGCCACAAACCCAAAGTACCTCAGCAATACTTCATGATACCACCAAACTTTGTTATTTGTTATTGTATTAGAATGTCAGATACATGCAGATGCAACCTCTGCATCTTATCAATGTACTTAGAATTATTAACATATGTTAATCAGTATATGTAGCCAGACTTTTTGAATTTTGTCTAACTTGTACATTGATGTTACCTAGAGGAATTTCTTATGTTCAAATCTAGAAATATCTATCAGAGAAATGCCTACAAAAGGAGTTTGGCATATAAAATAACTGAAGTATACAATGGCCAAAACCAACAATGATATGAATATTAGTCCAGAGACATAATGGCTTAGTATTGAAATATTGCAATTATTCTATAGTGCAAGCAGAAATGTAATAAAATTTTTAAAAAATCTGTTTATAATTGTTAGCTAAGCTTACTATTTCCCATGTTTGATTTGTTCCTAAATATATTGCCAGATATAAAATTTAAATTTCATTAAACCTTCATTTTGCTTTTAGTGGTATAAAATTTGATTTCAAAACAGATTTTATATATTTTTATATAATTTTTCTTCTGAAAATAAAAGTCAGTATTGTCAAGTTGTATAAAGTGGCTTTTCTAAAGCATTAAAAATCTGACAAAGAAAGATACTGAAATATTTTCAAGCTTTAATGTTATTTTTTATGATTGCATTTAAATTCCTAGACTTTTATCAAATTCCGATTTTAATTTAACTCATATTGTCGTTATTTAATAAGTAACTTCTTTTATCCACAGATTTTATTATTAGTCACCAGTTGAGTGCGTAAGTGGAAATCGATAAATAATAAATGTATTTAAAAATAACAAAAGTTCAGTATCTATTAACATTTAACAATGAAAAAACTATTAACGGTACTTCATTGAGTTGCCTCCCTTAGTAGTACCGCCAAACACCTGCGACATAAGAGACTTGGTACCAGTAATCAAAAGACTATCAACATAAACAAGTGGACTTACGAATGAAACCACGATGTAAACTCTAAAGACATGAAACATTTACTGGATAAATGTAATGTATACATTGTTTTTAAATATTTACAGTATGATAAACTAGACATTTTTATCTTTATTTTTCACAGAATTCCACTGTTATGTATGAATATTATGTTTGTTTTCAGGTCAAAAAAGCATATGTTGAGAGTGGGTGTTTTGTTTTTCCATGATATAATTTGGTGCGACCTCATTTTGGCCATGAGTCCAAAGATCTCAGAACAAAACAAAAATATATATAAATATTCCAAATATATTTGGAATATTTATATATATTTGATGGTTTGCTATTAGTTTTTAGTTTATTGAGAATAGAACAGCCCTTGTGAAAAAATAGGCATTAAGTGAGGAAACATTTACTGAAAAAACTAAGAAAATATGAGAAAAGTGGAAACTGAGAATAAAAATCAGTTTTATGAAAGAGAATTAAAAAGATGATCTTTGAAATGAAGAAATATAAGGATATGAAAACTGAAGTAATTAAAATTCTAGCAAAATTACCAGTGGATCAAATAAAGAAAAAGAGAATAATTTTGAAAAGAAAGGCATTAATGTTGTTATTTTACTAAGTTTAGCTTAGTTTGACACAAAGCCACAAGTATAAGGCACCCAGTGAGGATTCAACTCATTACTCAAATTAGCTCACTGACCATTATCCATGTTTAGGCACACAACAATATATTAGAGAAATAGTACAAAGGGAAATATGTAAAGTGATATAAAAAACAGAAAAGATATGCAGGAAAGAGTAAAATATATGAAAGTATATGCAAAAGTGAATTTAAAAATGTGTATCAAAAGGAATTAATAATTATAATGTAATATAAGCATGACATAATAGTAAATATATATGAAACAGAGAAAACAAATGTAATACAATGGGGAAATACAAAAAGTAAAATAACGAATGAGTGGAACAAGGAAAGAATTGGTTAAAATTCTGTGATTTTAAACCGCCTAAAAAATAAATGCCAAAATAAAGGTAAAGTACATTGGACATTTTAAAGAGTAAATAAAGATTGAAGTGCAATACAAATTTGTTATTTTTATATTTATTCATAACGTTTGTAGTTTTGGAATGAGGAGTTAAACATTCACTTAAAATAAAAAGTGAAATCACAATTATTAAAGAGTGAATATTAAAAAATATGAATCCAAAAGTTTATTTTTACTGATTTTGCTACTTGAGAGCAATACAATATTTGATATAAAAATGATTATCTTTCTTTTCCAGTAAAAATAAACCTGCTGATGAAAATAATTATTCTATGCTTATTTGAAAGAAACAAAACTTTACAAACACATAAAAGAACTTATGAAGTAATTTTTAAATAAATGAATGAAAATGAAAAACTAAATTTCAATTGTTTGGGCCTTCAGTATACTCGTATTGATATTCTATAGATTTTTGAATGATTTTTGTATACATTGAAGTGATTGCTTGTAAGAAAGTTCTACTGTCTTCATTTAATTTTACTTTCTTAAATTTTAGTCATGAGTTGAATCAACCCAGTTCTTGCAATGTAATTTCAGATTTTTCAGTTACCAGTCCAGTGTTCTTAATTTTCAATGAAAGCAGATTTTTTTTTTTTTTTTTTTATCTACATTAATATATTTACATTTTTAGGTTAATATGTTTACATTTAGGATACTGATAAAAATATTAATGATTCCCTAGGAAAAAATGAAAATGTAAAATTTCCTTTATATTTTTAGGTTTTACTTTTTAAAATGAAATGAAAAATTATATATTAGCATATTTATCTATAATTATTTATAACTTTGAATATGGAGGTCTTTAGTTTTTTTTATTTTTTAACTAAATAAAAAAACAATATATAGAGAAATTTCAGTAACATACAAATAACATAACTAATGACTTTGTACAAAATTTTTTTTCCCAACAAAATACATAGATCTCACTGAGAGAGCTATGTATTCTCATACAAATCTACATTTACTAATCAAGTCTTTCATTTGGTTAGCAAATGTACATAAACATCAATATGTGACTAAAAGGACATTGTGTTAATTTTTCCCTTTGTTTTTTATTTATTTTCTCTACCAATAGACATTCATTATGCATCTTGAAAATTGTTATCAAAATTAATTTATCAATTTTATAATTTTATCAGGTTAAATGTAATCATTTTTTTTCTGTAAGTCATTTAACCTTTAGGTAACCATTAAAA